AAGAACCATGATAGGGAGCAGCCCAGACCAGGCCAGGGAGTGGTACCCATCGGCATACATTTGGCACAGGTTGGGGGCGTGTCAGCCTGGACCAGTTCATATCACCTGCTGGTGAATCAGCACCAGAACAGAGTGTGGGTCAGGCCGGGTCAGGCTGGGGGCCCCTGCCAGCGTGACCTGGAACTGGAGGTGGGCTGGACCAGGCCAGGCTATGGCACCCACTGGCAAATGCCAAGGTGAGACAGGCCATGCCAGACTGGGCCTCCTCGGTGGCTTAGATGGAGCAGTGCGGCGGCACAACCAGATGCACATGGAGGACGTGGCAGTCCCTGGGGGCCTGCAGACCTGGGACCACAACAGCAGATGAGGGGTCTCCCCCACAGATCCCTCCAGTACCCCATTGCCGGAGGGGTGAGCCTGCTGCCTGCCATCCAGCCTCGGCACACGAGAGACAGACACACAGGGTTTTGTCTAAGCAGTTCCGACTTATTTGGGAAGTACAAACTCTTACATAAGGTACAGATAGCCTCAGGCCAGGAGTCCCAGAACTCCAGCGGGAAGAACTAGGAGCCACTTGCTGGGAGCAGGACTGCGGAAGCCACCCCTCAAGGGCCAGGGCAGGTGAGAGAAATGGCCCTGGCCGATCAGCCTTTCTTTGGAACAACCTGATCCCTGCCCTGGTTCACGCCCAGGGCTCTGTGCTTGGCCGCCATCTTGCTCACCACGTGTAACCCAGTGACCTTGACCGTCACCATCTTATTGACTTAGCGACCCCTTTGCCCCTGAGCCCCACACTACCCCAACCAAGCATTGGCAGTGACTATCCGAGCAGTCGGAGGCTCTAAGGTGAGCTACGTCAGCCAGTGGATTCTGGAGAGATTTCCTCGCGCTTCCAGTGGCGAGATCGGCAGTAATTCAGAACTGTTCAACTACCGAAACCTCTTGAACAGTGCCCTCAGAGTGTGCCCCACACTGGGGACCCTGGGATGGCATCGGGTGGCTGTCGTCCATCCTAGGGTACGGAGGCATTTGGGAGGCGCGGTGTGGCTTCTCCCCTTATCTCGCCACTTCCCCCAGATACAGGAAGAAAAAAAAATGTGGAAATAATGGTGTCACCCACCTTCGTGTAGTCCTTAAGCCTCTGCACCCTGATCAACTATGTAAAAATCACAATTATGTAAAAAATATAATTACCTTTAAAAATAAAATAAAAGGAGTTGTTAACAATTTAAAAAAGGATGTTGGAGTTTATACCTTTCCCTATACCTACAATGTCAGGATACACTAAAGTAATAAAACCGCGGGCTGTGAGCGCCTTGGAAGGACTAACTATTGTTACACTAGAGGGGAAGCAGTGCGGGCGGGGCAGAAAGGGACTCCTTGAGTCTAAGGAACTAAATCACGAAAACTTAAAAATTAAAAAATAAACAAGCCTTTAAAAATTATTTATTTGAAAGGCAAAAGGAGAGAGTGCCTCTCCCTGCTGATTCCTTCCCCAAATGACCACAACAGGAGGTGCCTATCCAGATGAAAGATCCCAGAAGGATCCCAACACCCGAGCCGTCTTCCACGCCTTCCCAGCGAGCTGGATCAGAAGTGGAGCAGCCGGGACTCAGGCCAGCACTCCAGGGGCCCCAGCACAGTAGCCAGGCCAGCTATCCCTGCCCCTGCGGCACCAGCAGCATCCCACACGGGCACCAGTTCATGTCGGTTACCCCACTTCCCATCCAGCTCCCGCTTATGGCCTGGGAAAGCAGCAGAGGACAGTCCGAGTGCTTGGACCACTGAACCCTGTCTGTGTGGGAGACACTTTGGACCCCCTGTCTGTGTGGGAGACCCAGAAGAAGCTCCTGGCTCCTGGCTTCGCATCAGCTCAGCTCCAGCTGTTGTGGACATTTGGGGAGTGAACTAGTGGATGGAAGATCTTTCTGTCTTTCCTTCTCTCTGTGAATCTTCCTTTCAAATAATAAAAATAAACAAATTAAGACAAAAGAAAAAGCATTCCAACATGGAGGCCAGATTAACCTACTCCACCACAACAGAGTCCCTCCTCCCCCGCAAAAAAAAACAAACTTGGCCTGAAACCTTGTGCCTTCTTTTCTTTAACCACATCATGTTTTCGTCTTTGTTTCGGGGCTTTTTGTTTGTTTGTTTGTTTGTTTTTTTGGTTCCTTTTTATTCACTAATCACGTCGTTTTGTAGCTCCTCTGGCAATTCCCTTTTGAAAAAGAACGCCTGCGTGTGTGCGTGGCCGAGAAAGAGGCAGGCCTGCTCTCCGTCCTGGGTCACTGCCCCCTGGGCTAGGGCTGCGATGAGGCTGGGAGATTTCCCAGGTGGGTGACAGGGAGCCACAGGCGGGCCGCCTGCAGCCTGGCACACTGTGCCGTTAGCAGGAAGCTGGGATGGGGGGCTGGGAGAACTCTGCCGCTGAGTTCCCCGTGTGAGGGCTGTCACTCCTACTCCTAGACGGGCTAGATGGGCTTGCCCGGGTCCTCAACAGCAAAATCAATTCTGAGAAACAAAGTCGGAGAACTAGCATTTCCTCTTTTTAAACTTAATACAAAGCGACAGTACATAAAACAGTTTGGTTTGCCATCGAGTTAGACAAACAGACCAAAGGACCAGAGCAGGAGTCTAGAAATGAACCAACCGTCTCCTCCCCGGACTTCAACTCAGCAGTCAGAATGAAAGAGGCCGGGCAGGAAGCAAGCTGACTCATCAACCTCACGCCATACCGCCCCCCTCTGGCTGCCCCATGTAATAGTCAGCCTACCTGTCCCAGGTTGTTCTCACTCCCCTACCAGGACTGGAGGGTGGCGTCAAGGTAAGCGGCAGATCAGAGCCCAAAGGAAAACCCAGGGAGCCAGAAGTCACGGTCCTGGGGCACTAACAGGAACTCAGGAGGATGCCCCGCCTGCACAGAACCCCGGGCAGTGCAAGCCGGAGGATGGTGTCACACCACAGTGCTGCAGGAACCACTCACCCCAGACTGAAGGCCCCAGCAAGACGTTCCAGAAAGGAAGCCCATCACAGGCCGTCAGTCACGGGCCGTCAGACACAGCCGTCAGACACGGGCCGTCAGTCACAGGCCATCAGTCACGGGCCGTCAGTCACAGGCCATCAGACACGGGCCGGCCACCTGCAGCAGGTGGGGGCAGGTTCTGACGCTGATGGCTGGGGTTGAGGTACGCGGCCTGCCCTCTGCACACTGCTGGACACCCAGGGCCTGCCTGGGTCAGCTCTGCCCCGACTGTCCCTCTGTGGCCCTGGTTCTACCACACTGCACATGCCATGCTGGGCACTTACCTGGGAGCCAGCCCAGGCAGCCACGCAGCGGAGCTGCCACCTGCCTTTCTCTTCTTGCTGCAGACCTCAGAGCCAACTCCCACACTGGGCCCAGCCTCCAGCACGGGGCACTGAGCATGCAACATGATCGGTCCTGGCATGCCCCTCGTCTGGCCACGCTCATGCCAGTCCCGGTACCTGGGGGGGATTGCAGGGTGCAGGGCGCTGGGCCCCACCTGTGCTACAAGGCCACAGCGGGTTTTTGACACTGCCACTTGCCTCCAGTGGGGAAGCAGCTGTGGTGTCCACTACATCACACACAGGCATTCTAGCACTGCGTTGAACTGGACCCTTCTCTCCCCTCCTGGCTGTGCGAGCAGCCTGGAACACTCCCCAAGTCCAACCTTGCACACTGTACCGGCGCCAACCAACAGGACGCTTCCGGTACAAGTGGGCTACATGCGTGCCGCCCAGTGATGTAGCTGCTGGAGTTACTGGGCCGACTGCCACCCGGGTCTTCTGGTTGCTACGCAACTGCCACTCCTTTGGACTTAAAACAGCAACTCTGCTTCTGCTCACCATCTAAAAAACTCATTTCTTTGGAAGGCAGTTAAGAGAGCTCTTCCACCTGCAGGTTCACTGCCCAGATGGCTGTGGTGGTCGGCCGGAGCTGGGTTAGGCCACAGCCAGGAGCCTGGAGCTCCCTCCATCTCCCAGTCCCCCACGGCCTCCTAAGGACTGCTCTTTCCAGGCCCAATGGGAGCGCCCCACGTGGAATCTGAGCTAGCTCTCACATGGTGTCCACATCGCAGGAAGCTTAACATGCTGCACCACACGGCAGCCAAGTTCAGTTTTTATAAACACGTTTTCTTGCTTCAAGTTCATCTTCTCAAGTGCTAAGGTGAAGCGAATTCTCCGGCAGGCACAAGTCATCCAAGGGGCAGTCAGTGACCTGCCTGCAAGGCACCGAGGCCTGGCCTTTCCTTGGCGTCGCGCTGCCAGCTGCCAGCCAGCCTTCCTCTGTGGGTCTGGACTCCCACCCTGGTCGGGGCCGAGACCCTGACCACCTGCCACAGCGAGGCACTCACTCCCACGCCTCTTGTGGAATTCCTCCAGAACCTCTCCCACTTTCAAAAAACATGTGGAGGGAGGTATCCCAGAGGACTGTGGGGAACGCCTGTGAAAAACGGGGTGCAGGGAAAGGGCCTTGGACCCCTCACTGTTTCCACTGGTGGGTCCCCCAAGACCATGGCCCCAGCTCAAGCACAGGGCAGGCCGAGGCAAGGAGCCAGAGGCAATTCCTCTCCCAGCTTCTGCAACTGAACCAAAGCCACTTTCGGGAGCACCCAGAGGGAACCCCGAGGAGCTGCGGGTGTCTCCCAATCTCTCTCCCCAAGCCTAAAAAAATCACAATCCAGTCACTTCCGTTTTCTTAAAAATTTATTTTTAAAAGGCACAAAATTCATTCTCTAGATGACTGCAACCACAGTCAGGAGTTTCATCCGGGTTTCCCACATGGGCAGTGAGGGCCACGTATGCGGGCATCTCCTGCTGCTTGTCCACGGCCTCCAGCAGGGAGATGGACTGGAAACACAGCAGCCAGAGTACAAATGGGGGCCCAAGGGGTGGGCACTACGGGTGTTCACCTTCCCTGCTAAGCCATGCCAACCCTAGCCCCAGTTACTCTAACTTCCACCAGCCCATTCACTATTTCAGTCCCACTGTGCTGGGGTCCCAAGCACACGCAGGACATGGTGGGGCCCCAGAGAAGATGAATGCCGGCATTGGGGGGCTGCTCAGGAAGGGAGCAGGCACTGGACACAACCCGCAGCCGTCTCCCTGACCCCCACCGGCTCCAGGAGATGGTGGGGCTTGTCAACTCACCATCCAGGGCCCCCAGTCAGTGTCGCCCAGGGTGGCAGGAGGATCAGTGTTGGACATCAAGATGGCTGGGATGCCGCTGCCCACCACAGTGCACAGTGGGAGAAGGAAGTGCTGGGTGTGCCAGCCTGTGTGCGGCCCGGGAGAGCCCCGCCTGGAGGACCCCCACAGTCCCACCTCTGGGGTCTCATCTGTCCCCAGGGAGATTTCCACTAGGGGGTAGTGAACGTCGGTCTTCCCGGGGCTGTGCCCCACTGGGCACCGCAGCGTCACCCTACACCCTGGGTGCACACAGCCCACAGGCACGGGCGCTCAGGCCAGGCCGGCCCGCTCCAGGTCCTGCGGCAGGATGCGGCCTTTCTTGCGGGCCTTCTGCAGGCGCCGCTCGGCGCGGGCCGCCTTCTTCCTGCGCAGGTTCTGCCGCCGCTTGTCCTGGCGCTGCTGCATCTTCTCCACCACGTGCGCCGCACGCTTCTCCCAGCGCCGCTTCCGCTGCGCCCGCCGCTGCTCCTTGCGCTTCAGGGCTTCCTGCAGCCGGCCCTCGTCGTCGCGGATCTTCACGCCCTCGGCCTTGTACAGCAGGTTGGTCCACTGCATCTTGGCCTCGAGCTCCTGCGCCTTGCCCGCGTCCTGTTCCCGCAGCGCCTCCAGCCGGTCCTGGCGCGCGTGCAGGCGCTCCAGCAGCTGCCGGTAGTTCCTGCCCGTGAGCGGCGTGAGGTTCCCCTTCACCCGCTGCTGCTTCTCCCGGCGGCGCTGGGCCTTGCTCACCGGCTCATCCTCGCTCACCTCCACCTGCGGGAGCCGGCGTCAGTGCCCACATTCCCGCCCTGGCACCTCGGGGCCCTCAGGGCACCGCGCCCCTCACCTTGTTGAAGATCAGCCCGGGCGGCTCTGGGGGCTGCTTGCAGGGGGCCTCGGGGGTCGGCCCGGCCGCAGCAGCCTCAGCCTCCTCGGCCTTGGCGGCCTTCTCCCGCACGCGCAGTTCCTTGCGTTTCCTCTTCCTGCGCGCCCGCTCCTGCTGCCTGCGTCTCCGCTTCTCCAAGGTGGCAGGTGACAGCTCTGCGGCAGCCCCCTACGGGGAGGGCAGAGTCCCCGTCAGGGTCGCCCAAGCCAGAGGGCGCCCAAGGAGCTGCGTGCACAGGGCACCAGAGGCCGAGCCACGTACTGCCCGGCGCGAGGGCCATCAGCATGGCCATGCCATCACCAGGTGGCAGGTGCCGCAGGCACCGCAGGCACGGCTCACAGGCCATCCCCCCTTCACAGATGAACAGGGTCACACCCCCATGCGGCGTGGGGAGCTGCGAGTCCTTGCGCACCACCTCGCCCCAGCTCCCACTCTCCTCGCAGCCTTCCAGTCCCAGCGCCAAGCAGAGCGCTGCACCACACCCGCCGGGGAGGTGAGGGAGCAAGGGCTGCCCCAGCCAGCGCCTGGCCAGCTCTCCCGGCCCACCTGGCCCCGGGCCTCCCGGATCTTCTCATGCAGTCGCTCCCGCAGGACGTCCAGGGCAAAGACGGAGTCAGACGGTGCGGCCGGGCCACCTGTGAGGAGGGATGGGACCGAGAGGCTGCGACCTGAGACGGCCCCCTTCCCCGCTGCCCCAGGGCCGCTGCCCAGGCCACTGAGGACTCAGCAGGGCAGCTCCAGGCCATTCCACCGCGTTCCATGGCAGACTGTCCTGCAGGGCCAGCAGGTGGAGCGAGCCTGCTCCACATCCCAGCGTCCTGCCGCTGAGCCCAGCCCTCGGACCCCCTTGGGTCACTGGGGGACAGCACCTGCCTTTGCCACGCCGAGCAGAAGCTACACCCAGAGCCCGTGCCCTGCCCAGCTCCCTGCACCTCTCACCCGAGGCCGCCACTGGCCCCGCACCCCGGCTCCGGGCACCCCTACCCTAACTCCAGGCACCACGCACCCCGACTCCAGGAACTCCGGACCCCCACCCCGGCTCCGGGCACCCCCACCCTAACTCCAGGCACCACGCACCCCGACTCCAGGAACTCCGGACCCCCACCCCGGCCCCGGGTATCCCGGCCTGTGCCCCCTCACCCGCGGCGGCTGGCTCCCGCACCCCGGCCTCGGGGGCTCGCTTCCCTGGGGCCTTCCCCTGAGGCTCCCGCGACTTCTTGGCCGGCTTCTTCCTTCTCTTTTTGGGCGGCCTGGCGGTTTCTGAGCCTTGGGGCTTCCCCGCTGAAATGCAAAACCACCCGAACCAGCGGTGAGGGACCCCCGCCATGAGGAGCGCTGGCTGCGTTTCGGGGCGCGGCGCGTCCGCCTGCCCAGCTCACCCCACTTGCGCTTCCGCGGCTCGGGGCCCGGCTGCGCGCAAATCTTCTTGGCCAGGCCCTGCAGGTAGGCGTCCTTGGCGAGCAGAGAGGCCATCGCAGCAGCTCCCGGACAGGGGCCGGCCAGCCCGCACCCCGAAGCGCCGTCTTCCGCCCGCGCACGCGCCACCAGCCGCCGCCGGAAGAGGCGCGCGCGCGCGGGGCATTGTGGGCCGTCGGGGCAGGCGCCCTTCCGGCGGCCGCGGCGATCCGTGCGCTGCCTCACGCCCCAAAGCCTGGACGCCCCACCCGGCCGCCGACACCTGGGCCTCCCCGGGGCGCGTCCTAGCTGCAACACAAAGTCTGTTCAAAATGTTTGTATTTAAATTTATTTTTTTTTAAATTAGGAAAGCAGGTTTGCTGAGGAGAAACGGAAAACCTTCCCATCAGCGGGTTCACTCCCCCAAGTGGCTGCAGTGACCAGAGCTGAGCCGATCCGGGTCTCCCACACGGGTGCAGGGTCCCCAGGCTTTGCCCAGGTCACAGGCAGGGAGCTGGATGGGAAGTGAGCAGCCAGGACTTGAGCCAGTGTCTATATGGAATGCAGACACTGCAGGCAGGGGCATGGCTCGCACCAGCTGGTAGCCAGGGCGGTGCCCAGTGCCAACCCTGACCCCACTTGGATCCGACTTGAGCGTCCCCACTGCTCCCGGGCTTCTTGGCAGGACTGGTCGAGTGGAGGCCCGGCCAGTCGCCTCGACCATCCCTCAGGGTCGCAGCGTCCTTCATGCTGTGGAGATGGGCTGGGCTGAGGCACCCCGGCCCGGGCTGCGGTCACCAGGTCCCAGCGCCTGACCGTCCTGCCCATCCTAGCCTGCTGGCCCTGGGTACCGCTGCCCCTCCCAGCTGGTCACAGCCAGGACAGGGCGCCTGGGCTCGGGCCCTGCAGTTCTGTGTGGCTCAGCTGCACACTTGGCGGTCCCAGCAGGAGGGCCAGCCTGGAGCCCAGGGCCAATGGGGCTGGAGACAAGGACACCCCTGGGCCGAGCAGGAACCGGCACAAACCGGTGGTGGCATTTTTATTGGACAGTCTCATCACCAAACAGCGGAACAGAATTTTCTGCTTTCTGCCGACTCGTGGCTGTACAGGGGGACAGGAGGCCAGGTGTGGCTGGCGGTGGTGCCCTCAGGGCCTCCCAGAGCCCCCAACGCAATGCTGGGGTGGGCTGTCCTGGCTCCCAGGGCCCTGCAGTCACTGTGGGGAGAGGGGCGGGTGGACGGAGGCTGGAAGCGGCAGAGCAGTGGCGGGCACCCGGGGCAGGGAGCCCTGGAGCTCAGTCCTGAGCTAGAGGCCCCGTGGGTTCAGGCATGCTCCGTGGGACCAGGGCCACCCGTGTGGGCGTGGGTGGCGGCTGTGGCCGGCAGGGGCCCGGCCCGGGCTCTGGGGACGCCAGCAGAGGGGCCGCGAGGCCATGCGCAGAGTCCTCGTCATGGTCCCACCTCCAGTAAGCTTCGCACAAAGGCAGGTCACTGGCTTCGCACAGACTGGAGCTTGGCCACCAGAAACCCCGGGAGACAGGAGCAGCCGGAAAGGAAAGCGGGAGGGGGAGCAAGACAGAGCCGAGTTAAGGAAGCAGACACCCCTGTCCTGCGTGCCCCTGCCCTGGGCTGGCCTGGTGCAGAGCCAGGCGTAGCAGGGGGCCCTCCCCTCCCCAAGCCCCCGCTCACTAGTCTCTGGTTTTAAGGCATGGTTGGGCAGCAGTGCCCCAGCCTCCACGGGGCACTTGAGAATAACTTTGCCAACTAATAATGAGGCCCAGACACGGCTGAGGCTCTGCCATGGGGCACCTCCTGCCCTACGCTGGCACCTACCCTCAGCATGCTGCAGGCACACTCCTGCTTCTCCCGGAGAACAGAATGAGAAAGAGCAAGCAGACAGCAGTGGGCAGGCAGGGGAGCGGGCAGGCAGGCGGGCGGGCAGGCAAGCAGTAGGTTGCTTGGCGTGGCTGGGGAGGGAGGGGCCAGTGCACCTGCTGGCCATGTCCAGGCGTACCCTGACAGCAGCTCACAGGAGAGGGCACCCAAGGCAAAGGACCCCGCTGTATGGTTTCCAGGGGTCCAAGAGGGGCGTATCTGATCCACTTCCAGGATGGGTGAGGGGGGCCAGGAGGGACGCTGTACCTGCCACCCAGCAGGGTTGACACAAGGGTCCCCTGTGTAAGCCAGGCCCATCTGACTTCTCAGGGCCCCTCCAACCCACTCGCTCTTGATATTCAGACGCTGGGGGCCCCGGGAGCCAGGGTGACAAGCTTTGTCCAGGGCCTGGAGCGCCTGAACGCTCCCTCAAAGGGAACGCTGACAGGGTGAGGACAGCCGTGCCCTGGCTGGCTGCGCAGGCTGTTTCTGATCATGCAGTTCCGGCCTCCGGGCCTGGGGCTTGCCAACAGCCCCCTACCGCAAGCACTGGCAGCCAGGGCATGGGCGGTCCAGAGGAGGTAGGCCCAGCTGAGACGGGCACAGGCACAGGTGGGTTCAGACGTGGCCCAGTTGGGAGGCGCTCCGCACGGCGGGAGGGGCCACCCTTCAGACATCCACCCCGACTCCCACGAGTCCTGGGGGTGCGTCGCTCTGCACAGCGGGGCCCCAGCAGCCGGCTGCCGAGTGTCTGTCCGCCGAGCGCTCGGAGCCCGGCCGGCCCGGGCCTATCTGTACCTGGACGAGTAGTACTCCTCCTCCAGCTCATACAGGTCCACGGACACCTCATCCCGCAGGGCCACCAGCTTGCGGTCACACTCGTCCTGCAGCGCGCGCAGCCGCTGGTTGTGCTGGTCGATGGCCTCGTTGACCGAGGGGAAGTCGTTGAGGATGAGAAACTGCTTGAGGTCGGACACCAGCTTCATGAGGGACTCCCCGGCTCGTACCTACAGCGGCATCACCAGGGAGGCTGGGGGCGGCCGGGGCGGGGCCTGCCCCTCCGGGGCCCGCCCAGCACGTCCCAGAGAGGGACCGGCCAGGGTCCGCAGGCTCCCAGACCCTCCCCCATCGCAGCCTCTGCTGGTCGGACCCTGCCATGACCGCGGAGCCACAGAACACCCATGGCTGCCTGTCCACGGCCGTCTGGAAGCCACCTGCCACTCACAATGTTGGCAGCTCGCACATGCATCTCATAGTGGTCCTGTTCGCCCTGGGTGGCCCGTGACACCTGCGTCTCGTCTTCAATCTGGAAGCAGACAAGAAAGCCTACCTCAGCTGGCCCACGGAGAACACGGGCACATCCTGCTTCCCAGGGCTCCGTGCCTCATGGGCACTGGGCACTCAGCAGCCTGCAAGGGGCTGGGACGGACAAGACCCACGCAGAGGAGCCTAGCGGCTCAGCCTCGGAGACGTCCCCAGGAGCGGGTCCCCACGGACAGGTGGACAGGGTGATGAGTCCTACCGGTCTTGGAGCAGATGCGGGGGTCCTCGCCAGGCCCACCCACCTCTGCCTACGTGCTGACTGCTCTGCCCACCTGGCAGAGCACACCCTGTGTCCACTCTTCTCCTGTCCTTCTCACAGATCATCACAAGGAGCCTAACGGGCAGGGGACACTGGCCCCAAGCGTCCAGCCCGGAGTGTGGGCATGGGGCGGGACCCCCACCTGACCATGTACCATGTGCAGGGCACCCCACGCCCCCTGCCGTCCTCCCCCTGCCCTGACCATCCCATTCCTCACCCCCTGCCCACTGCCCACCTTGGCCATCCTGTTCCTCGCCCCCTGCCCTGGCTGTTCTCCTCTCTCCTGCCGTCCTCCCCCTCCCCTGACCGTCCTCCCCCAACCCTGGCCCTCCTCCCCTGCCCCTGGCCCTCCTCCCCCAGCCGTCCTCCCCCTCCCCCGACCGTCCTCCCCCAACCCTGGCCCTCCTCCCCTGCCCCTGGCCCTCCTCCCCCAGCCGTCCTCCCCCTCCCCCGACCGTCCTCCCCCAACCCTGGCCCTCCTCCCCCTGCCCCTGGCCATCCTCCCCCAGCCCCTGGCCCTCCTCCCCCAGCCGTCCTCTCGCAGCCCTTGGCCCTCCTCCCCCTGCCCCGTCCCTCCTCCCCCAGCCCTCCTCCCCCTGCCCCTGGCCCTCCTCCCCCAGCCGTCCTCCCCCTCCCCCGACCGTCCTCCCCCAACCCTGGCCCTCCTCCCCCTGCCCCGGCCCTCCTCCCCCAGCCCTCCTCGCCCTGCCCCGTCCCTCCTCCCCCTGCCCCTCCTCCCCCTGCCCCTGGCCCCCTGCCTGCCCGCCCACCTTGGCCGTCTTGATGAGTTCGGTGAAGTTGTCCATGACGGACTTGATGTCGTCCTTCAGCCTCTTGTTGTAAGACTGCAGCAGCGTCTCCTTGCTCTGCGGGAGGACCCGCTGCTGGGCCATGGCGCCGGCGGCTGCAGCCCACGGGGTGCGAGCGACCGGGGGGTCACACCCTGCTGATCTGGGGCGCCCCTGAACTCCCTGAACCCGCCAGGTTCCGTGCTCCCCGGGCTGAACCCGCGCTGCCAGCAGCAAGCTGCTCTGCAGGCCGAATCCGCGCCTCCGGAGGCTCCGCCCCCTTTTCAGCGACTGCCGGTCGCTTTAAAGCTGAGATCTCGCGCGGCCGCCGGGTCTCGCGATATTCGGCGTGGCGTACAAATTGCCCACAATCCCCCGGGCTCGCCCTCGCCCTCCGCCGCCAAGATGGTGAGTCCGCGTCTCGGGTTTCCGCGCCGGGCCCGGCTCCATCCGCGTCCATCCCGGCGCGGGCGCGGCGCTGCGGGGCCGGGGGTGCGGGCGCGGGGGTGCGGGAGGGCCCGGCCGCTGACCCCGCGCTCCTTCCCTCGGCCCCCAGCCCAAAGGGAAGAAAGCCAAGGGCAAGAAGGTGGCCCCGGCCCCCGCCGTGGTCAAGAAGCAGGAGGCCAAGAAGGTGGTGAACCCGCTGTTCGAGAAGAGGCCCAAGAACTTCGGCATCGGTGAGCGGGGGGCGCGGGGAGGTTGGGGACCGGGCAGGTCTGGGGGGCCCGGGGAGATCGGGGGGCGCGGGGAGGTCGGGGGACCCGGGCAGGTGTGGGGGGCCCGGGGCCGGGGTGCAGATGATGTGACTGAATATTTGCTATCCGAGTCGCGGTGACGACCTCACACCACCAAGATCGCTGATGCGCCTGCCTCGGGGGGCCCTGGGCGCGCGGGGGCCGCATGGACACACGGGGCGCCCCACCCCGCACCCACTGGCCTCTGTGCCCTCCAGGACAGGACATCCAGCCCAAGAGGGACCTCACGCGCTTCGTCAAGTGGCCGCGCTACATCCGCCTGCAGCGGCAGCGCGCCATCCTCTACAAGCGGCTCAAGGTGCCGCCGGCCATCAACCAGTTCACGCAGGCGCTGGACCGGCAGACGGGTGAGGGGACAGGGACCCCAGGGCGCAGGGCCGGCACGGGTGGGGGGACAGGGACAGCACAGGTGGAGGGACAGGGACACCAGGGCGCAGGGCCGGCACGGGTGGGGGGACAGGGACAGCACAGGTGGAGGGACAGGGACACCAGGGCGCAGGGCTCACAGGTCAGGGGGCCCCAGGTGACGGCGCTGTCCACGCCCCCAGCCACGCAGCTGCTCAAGTTGGCCCATAAGTACCGGCCGGAGACAAAGCAAGAGAAGAAGCAGCGGCTGCTGGCCCGCGCCGAGAAGAAGGCAGCCGGCAAGGGGGACGTGCCGACCAAGCGGCCGCCGGTGCTGCGGGCAGGTGCGACCTCCCCCGGGGCCGGGGTGGGGGCGGCAGGGCCGGGCCGGGGCTCACGGAGGGGCTCTTGTAGGGGTCAACACGGTGACCACGCTGGTGGAGAACAAGAAGGCACAGCTGGTGGTGATCGCCCACGACGTGGACCCCATCGAGGTGGGTGTGGGGGCAGTGGGGACCCTGGTGGCAGTCTCTGGCTGTGATGACACCTTCTCCCTGACCTCCCCGTGGAGTAGGATACCGAGCTTTTTAACCCTGAGCCAGAGCTGCCCGCAGCGGGGAGCGTCCGTCCGCCGTGGCGGCCTGCTCACCCTCCGTCTCTTGCAGCTGGTCGTCTTCCTACCTGCTCTGTGCCGCAAGATGGGCGTCCCCTACTGCATCATCAAAGGCAAGGCCCGCCTCGGCCGCCTGGTCCACCGCAAGACCTGCACCACCGTGGCCTTCACGCAGGTCAACTCGTAAGTGCCCTCCCCCCCCAGCTCAGCCCTGGGAGCCCTGCCGGTGATGGGCAAGAATTTCTTCACCTGAACCAGCCGTGTGGTCACAGCGTATCTGAGGCAGCTGGCCCACTGGTCCTTCCAGAAGGGGGGCCCAGGACCCCGCAGCCCACGGGTCTCGTGTCCCCACAGGGAGGACAAGGGCGCCCTGGCCAAGCTGGTGGAAGCCATCCGGACCAACTACAACGACCGCTACGACGAGATCCGCCGACACTGGGGCGGCAACGTGCTGGGCCCCAAGTCGGCGGCTCGCATCGCCAAGCTGGAGAAGGCCAAGGCCAAGGAGCTGGCCACGAAGCTGGGATGAGCATGCGGCCGGGTCCTTTGTACATAATAAAGCCTGTCCCAGCCAGTGTCTAGTTACAGCTTTATTGTGATGACATGACGTGGTCAACCCAAGTGGTTGTGTCCATCAGGGGGCTCGTCGCAGGAACTTCTTCCACCACAGATACGAGGTGGCCGCGGCGAGGCCGTACCTGGAGTTGGGGGAAGGGGTCAGCCCTGGCCGCCGGGGCCCCTGGCCGGGCAAGGCTGGGGCAGGGGCTCACCAGGTCACAATGTACTGTAGGTGCTCGTTCCTGAGTGTGACTCGGGTCTGTCCCCCAATGGGGCCTCCTGGGACAGTGCTCCCTGCAAGACAGTGGGATGGAGCCCACAGTGACCCCTTGGGCACACTGCACCCCTGCCCGCAGCAGGCCCCACGCGCACGCACTGAAGTCGGCATCGATGAGGATGGGCTCGGTGCCCGCAGCCTTGGCCATGGCTGCCAGGTCCCGGTAGTGCCAGTGGTTCCTCTCGGGGTGGTTTTCAGGAACAAAAGGCTTCCTGGTCTCCGTCAGCCTCACCATCCCGACCAGCTCCACCTCGCCCTCCACCTGCAACGAGATGGTGGCGTGAGATTGCCTGCCGGGCCACCTGCCCAGAGCCCGCCACACGTGGGCACGTGTCCTCACCTGGCCTTTCTGACGAGTGTCGGGGTTCACTCTCCTCCGGGGGACAAACCCTCTGTTGACCAGGATGGTGATTCTAGAGCAGCAGGTGGGAAGGGATGACAGAGGCGGGCCTGAGGAGCCTGGCCCTGCCCCAGCGTGTGAGGGACCCGCGAGGCTTCAAGCTTCTGGTGACCCCTGCCCAGCTGACCTGCCCTTCCCCCACTCCCAGGTTCCTAAAGGTAAGAACTCCACCCCTGGCACTCAGGGCTGCTCCCTTCCAGAGCTGTGCCAGACCGCCAATCTCCAGGGGGCCCCGGTACCCCCTTCCTCTTAGAAGCTTCTGTGACAATGTCCCGGGTGCCCAGCAGGCCACTCACCCCAGGTCAGTGCAGTGGAACCGAGTCACCACATGGGCACCGCTCTCCGTGGAGGAGGAGAGGCGGCCGGCCTCGCGGGCCTCCCGTGCCGGGTCCACCAGCGTGCGGGGCATCATGTAGAGCTCCTTGGAGTGGTCGAAGTGCCCCCTGACTCTCACGGGCCTGTATTCCAGCTCTCTCAGCTCCATCGGGCTGTGTGGGGGTGGGGGATGCCGAGGGGGCGGCCAGCTGTGCACAGCCGGGACAGGCAGTGGGGTTCCCACGTGGGCCACAACCCCACCTGCTAGCCAAGTCGTCACGCCAAGGGCTACCCCGAATCCACTTGGTGGACGTGCCTGTCCCTCAAAGAAGAGGGTTGGGGACGCAGTCACTGGTACCCCCTCTCCACTCGCCACCCTCATGCTGACGACCCACGCCCTGCCCTCAGCTGCAGACAGCAATGGCACCGGAGCGCAAAGCCTGGGTCAAAGGCAGGCTGCCAGCTTCCCCCGCAGCGGGCAAAGCCAGGGTCCCGCCAATGCCACACTCACTCCGCGGGCAGCGGGATGGGCTCCGCCATCACCCTGGCCTCCAACTCCTGGATCAGTCTCAGCTTCCATTTCCGACGCTGAACCTACGGGGACACAGCGTCAGCCTCGGCAGACGCGGGGCTGAGGGCGCAGAGCCGGGCGGCCTACCTGCCACGTCCCCAGGCCAAAGGCGGTCGCGGGGATGAGCAGCAGCACCCACTGCAGGACGGAGTCCTCGCCGGCTCTGGAGGCCGCCGCGCCCGCCGCCGAGCTGCTGCCGCACCTGCCGGGCCCGCAGGCCAGTCCTGCGGGAGGTCAGCAGCCCCGAGTCCCGCACAAGGCGCAGGCGGCCGGGCCCCCAGGACAGGACCCGGGATTCCCGCGGCACGCCCCCTCCCCTGAGCGCGTGGAGCCCCGGCGCGCCCTTCTCACCTGGAGGCCGCGGGACCCCCGGGACACTCCTCCAGTAGGCGTGGGCAGGGACCTGCGCGCACGGGAGCGCGGGTGAGCTCGCGGGCCGGCCCCAGCCGCGCGCGCCCGGCCCGGCGCACGCCGCGAGCAGCAGCCGCCAAGCCCGCCTCGCCGCCGCCATCGCCCCGGCGGCCCGGGGGCGTTCCCGGGGCGGACGGCGTCTGCTTCCGGGGCGGCCGCCGAGCCCCGCCCGCCCGCGGCTCCACGTGGTGCGCGCGGCGGCCATGGCCGAGCTGCCGGCCGAGGTGCGAGCCTTCCTGCGAGAGCACCCGAGCCTCCGGCTGCTGCCCGGCACGCACAAGGTTTGCGGGACGGAAGGGAGGGAAAGGACGGGCCGAGGCCGCGGCCAGCGCGGAGCACCGACCTGGGACCGTCGCGCCGCAGGTCCAGTGCGCCCTGACCGGCCACGAGCTGCCCTGCCGCCTGCCTGAGCTCCAGGTCTACACCCGCGGCAAGAAATACCAGCGGCTGGCGCGCGCCTGCCCCGCCTTCGACTACGCCGAGTTCGAGCCGCACATCGTGCCCAGCACCAAGAACCCGTAGGTGGTCCGGGTGGGGACCCCGCCTGCCCCCGGCCGCGAACAGACCCCGGCCCCGCCGAACGCCCGCGTCTCGCTGCCCCGCAGGCACCAGCTGTTCTGTCGGCTCACCCTGCGGCACCTCAACAAGTGCCCGGAGCACGTGCTGAGACACACGCGCGGCCGTCGCTTCCAGAGAGCCCTGCGCGAGTGTGAGTCCCGCGGGGAAGCGGGCGTGAGCCGGCGCACCATGCTGCGTGCGCCCACGCACCGTGCCTGGGTGGGCCGAGGGGCGCTGCGGGTGTGGGGGAGCGCCCTCAGGACGGGTCCTAGGGGCTGCAGTGTCCTGAGGCCGCTTCTCCAAGGCCTGGGGCCGGACAGGACGGTCTGAGGGTGGACGGGGCATGGCGGGCTAGCGGGGCGTGCAAGTGGGTGCAGCTGCGGTTCGGAGTGAGGACCGGGAGGTGAGTGGTGTGGAACAGCAGGTGCCACCCTGTGAAGGAGGGACTGGGCTAACAGGGGTACCCAGCTGTGGCACTTGTCCTGGCCCTGGCTTCCCAGGCGGGTGCCCCCACACACATCCACAAGCTGGCACAGGGCCGAGGTCCCGGCCCGTGCCCAGAGCTGCCCCTGGCAGTATTCCGCTCCTTTGGAGTGGGCAGGAGGCTGCTAGATGGGGCACCCGCGTATGGCTTTGGTGCTGAGGACAGCAGGACCACTTCAGGGCAGCGGTCCAGAAGGGTGAGAATGTGGCTGTGAGGGGCCCAGGCTGCGGGGCATGGTGGCTTCTGGTGGAGATGAAGGGCAGCTGACCAAGAGCCCAGGGGCTGCTGGCCGAGGCCAGTGGGCAGGACCGGCAGAGGCGTGGGCCGCATCCTAGAAGCAAGCTGCAGCCACCCGCAGGAGGGGACAGTGGCTTCAACTCAGGAACAGCAAGGACCTGGCTGCTGGGTCCTGTCAGGAGGATAGCAGCGTGCGGCCTTGTCTCCCAGATGAGGAATGTCAGAAGCAAGGAAAGGAGTTTGTGCCCGCCTGCCTGCGGCACCGCCGACAGCACGGACAGGACAAGCCAGACGGCGCCGGTCCCGAGCGGCAGAAAGCCTTCTGGGAGCCCGCGTCAGGGGACGAGGAGGGGGCCCTGAGTGATGACAGCATGACAGACCTGTACCCACGTAAGCGACCCGGGGGCCGGGCCCATTGCCAAGCCCCTGCCTGGCCCCTGTGACTGCAGCCAGCTCTCTCCTCCAGCGGAGCTGTTCAGCAGGAAGGACCTGGGGGGGCCCGAGAGCACGGATGGTGGCCCCCTGACAGATGAGGACGACATGAGGCTGGGGCACCCGGCAGGACGGAGGAAAGAGATGGACAAGGACCCGCAGCGGGTCCCCAAGCGTCGCAAGGTGAGCTCTTGTGGGTCCCATGGCTGGCCGGGGGCTGGCAGGGCATGCCTCCCAGCATCTGCCTCAGGACCAGGGTACCACACCCCTCGCCCACCTGGGGCACACAGAAGGGACCCCTATCGTGGGTGGAGTGGGTCCTCGCCCTGAAGCTGGGGGCGCCTCTGACTTCACCCCATCCCTCCCCAGAAGCAGGTGGGCCCCGTGCGGAGGAAGTTCCAACGCCGCCATGGCACTGCGGGTTCCGGCTCCTGCCAGCAGCCGGGCTCCTGAGCTGCAGCTGGCTGTCCCGAGTGCCCGTCGTCTGGCGGTGACCTGAGCAGTGTCCAGTGGAGCCTCAAGGAGGAGCCCAGGCTGGGGTCCCACAGGACCACACTGCATACCACAAATGCCATTATTTATTTTGATGTGTTTCAAAAATCAAAACGTTTTCAAACACAACTAAGATATAAAATACAGCATAAAATGAGATTTATACCTATTTCCCACATAAAGCAAAGAATTCTCAGAAATTGTTTCGCCAAAACCGACTTGTCGATCTCGAGCTGCCAGCCGGGCAGCACCCTGGGCCAGGTCCCCGGGTCGGGCCAGGGACCTGGGCTGGCCCTGCACGTGGCCTCCTGGAGCCACAAGGAACCTGAGGGGGCATGGGAGACAGCCCTGCTGAGGTTCAAAATGCACAACCTTGAGGGGACCGTGGGAGGAGGCCCCTGGCCAACAGCCATCACCCCCAAGAGTAAGCGAACTGGTCATGAGAGAAGGGGCACAGCAGGGAGCCGGGAGCTGGGGGCGTGCCTGGCTGCTGACTGGAGGGCAGACCCCAAGTCCACAGCCTGAGCAGGAGTGCCCCGGTGCTGTGATGCAGACAAGTGAGACGAGCAGTGAGACCCCAGGGAACCATGGCATAAGGCAATGTTAGAAAACTTTAAATCCAGGATCGCGATCCAATAGGTAAGGCATCACAAATGGGAGCAGGTGACTGGCCGCACTGAGTGGCGGCCTCCAGGGTGGAGGATGGGCGTCGGGGCCAAGCTGGGCACAGGTGAGGTGCCTGGGTCGGCCCAAGGGCCACAGGGCTGCTGCTGCGCTGTGCCGTGCACCTGCCAATGGAGGCAGCCAGGCTGGCTCCACTACCTGCCCAGGGCCAGCGTAAGGGCCTGGCCATGCCAGCAGCCTGGGGACCTCCTAATACTGCATCACCCTTTGGCTGTGGGGTTCCTGTGATGTGTGTAGGGCCAGGGAGCCACTGGTGTGGCTTCAAGCAGGGAGTTTGGCAGCCTGGGCTGACGGGCTCAGCCATCCCAGATCATTTAGTAGTTTAAGCTAAGAATGTAAACTTAAAAATATGAGGGAGACTGCTTTAAATGAACAATTTTGTCAGCTCACAGTACAACTCAACCCCGCAAGAAGAGAAACCAGTCGGGCCCAGCAGCTGGGCCACCCTCCGAAGCCACCGGCCTGCGGGCACACAGCAGTCAGCCCATGGGTAGCCAGCAATTTCTAGGTGTCTGCAAATAAAGTTCTCAAAACATCTGTGCCTTTACCAGGGGCGGGGAGGGACAGTGAGCGCCAGGCCGGCTCCACCGGTGAGCAGTCCTCACGGCGTGCGGTTACCACTCCTTCTTCTTCTCGTCCATGGAGACGCCGCCGGGGCCCAGCGCCACAACCAGCAGCAGGCCCCCGATCACTGACATGGTCTGGAAGAAGTCGTACTTGAGGAAGTCGTGCATCGGCTTGTAGACGGGGATGGTCCAGAAGGCGTTGAAGTAGACATTGATGGCGAAGAGCCAGACGACCAGGGTCAGAGCGGCCAGCTTGGTCTTGAAGCCAATGGCCACGAGCACCATCAACGCTGTGCCCACCACGTTCTGGATAATCTGCACGGGGCAAGAGGCCACACGCTTGCTATGCACGGGCCTGGCTGGCGCCGCTGGCTCCCACTGGCAGCTTGGGGCAGTCTAGCACAGTTCTAAGCAACCCCTAGTCCCAGTGCATCCTCGCCTGCGTGCCACCCAGCCCCACAGCACAAAGGCTCTCACAGGGAAGCCTGCTCGTGGCATGGCACCCAGGCCAGGGATGGCACACAGGCTCCTGTGGGGAAGCACTGGGCACACGGCACCAGCAAGGCAGGGTACTTACGGAGAAGAAGCTGGCGTCGAAGTGCAGCAGGGTCATGAACATGAGGACCAGCAGGACCCGGCCCCCCAGCTGCATGTACTGTTTCGGGGAGCTCTCACGCATGGTGGGGACGCCAGCAAACATGCTCTTGCCTTCCGAGCGGGACTCTGCCAGCAGCAGCAACAAGCCGCCCCCCAGGGCCAGGTTCCTGAGGGAGGGAATGCCAGCTGGGACCCAGCTCTGGAGGGCCATCCTGCAGGGGGCGCCCCACAGCAACCTCACCCAGCTTAAGGGGTGGGGCAGGGCAGCCTTCGCTGGTGGTCACAGACTCCAGGCACACTGGTTAGTGCAAGGAGTCCAGCTGACCACCCACTACAGACTATTCCAGGTTGGCGATGTGGGACCGAGAAGAGAACCCGACGGCCAGCGTGTACCTACCTCATCAAGAACTTCAAGTCCCACAGGATGCTGTAGGCAAAGGTCTGTGGGGACAGAGAGAGGCGGCTTAACATTTCCCCAAATCACGCCTGCTTGCAGAAGCAGCCCAGGTGCCAGGCAGACGGGTCATCGGTGATCAGACAACCAGACGCTGATGGGGCTTAGGGACAGCAAGGGCACTGCCAAACCGCTGGGGCACCATGGCCACAGTGACCTCCGCCAGTGCCTGGGAAGGGTCTGAGAGCCCCGGGGCAGAGGCGGCCCTGTCTGGGACCAGCCCCATTTGCTCTAAGGGAAGGTCAGGTTCTGGGCACCGAGACCCGGGGAGAGGGCGGCACAAGTACCTGCAGGGCTATGATCCCGAAGAGCCCGAAGCAGGCGTACTGCACGAAGTTCCGGCTCAGCACCAGGATGCAGCCAGCTGCAGAGGAAGAGGCGGGCTCAGGGGGCACGTGGTGGGGGGGGCAGCTCCCCAGCTAGGATCCTCACCCAGCGGCAGCAGAGCCTTGAGGCCCCCCGAGGACCAACAGGGGGACCTGTCCTGGCACCTCCCTGGGGAGCTTCCTGCTCCATTGCAGGCACGGGGAGGGGGAGACGGCTCACAAAGAACAGGTCCCTTCCTCGTGGACTGGGGGCACTCACTGAGCTGTCCGAGCAGGTTGAGGAACACAAAGGCCGAGGCCAGCAGGTAGCCGCAGCCCCACGTGCTGTCGATGTAGTCGCGCTGCTCGCCCCACTGGAACCACATGCGGATGCTGTCCTCCAGGAAGGTGCTGATGAGGCACAGCCGCGCCACGTGCGGCAGGTACTGCTTCGTCACACGCAGGAACTGCGGGCCACACACAGGCGCTGAGGCACGCCACACGCCACAGGCGCTCCTCCCGCCCCAGGGGCACCTGGACCTGTGACGGGACAAGCCCCGTCCTAAACGAAATGACATGCCAGATGGACGTCCAGGGCAGAATGGGGACACCTGGCAGCACCCAGCCTCCCCTCGCCCCACTAGATTTCATGGGCTCTAGGGCATTTCTGGTCCCTGCCAATCAGGCCTGTCCACACTGCGCAGAGGGGAGGGGCCCACCCCTAGGGCTGCAGCGCAGCCTCCTGGGCTGGACTTCTGGACCACTTTGCACAAGCTGAGGGTCCTGACCCACGGAGACACAGCAAGCTGAGCTGTGCTTTGCAACACTGGCATCCTGCAGCACGCCAACTCCAGCTGGTGCTCCACTTGGTGCCCAGCGCCCTGCTAGTGCACACAGGACAGCAGGAAGGCGGCCCCACCCCCTCGGCAGGCCCTGGCTATTGCGGCCACCTGGGAGTGACCGGGGATTGAAGGTCTTTGCCTCCCTCTCTCCATGTAGCTCAGCCTTTCAAATAAATAAGCTTTCTTCTTTTTAAGATGTATTTAATTGAAAGGCAGAGAGGCAGAGAGGAGATGGCAGGCGAGAGTGCCCCCTCCATCTGCTGGCTCACTCCCCAGATGACCGCAGTGGTCAGGGCCGGGCCAGGCTGAAGCTGGAACCCTGGAGCGTCTTCCGACTGTCCTGCGTGGGAAGCAGGTCCTGAGCCATCTTGCACTGCTCTCCCAGGCCGTCTGCAGAGAGCTGGCGGGCAGTGGGCAGGAGGCCCCTCAGCTTTAGACAGCAGAGTAGCTCTCTTCTGTCCACAGGTTGTGCGCGCCGCAGATGTGACTCAGAGCGGCTGTGCACAACAGGTGCACCCTGCATGCCCCCGTCCCGTTCCGCAAAGCCCAGATACAAGGAAGAGAAAGCCGATAACGCAGCAGGCCCTCGGGAGAAAGATCAGGCCCCCGCCCAGAGTGACACGCCGGAGCAGGTCTAAAGGGCGCGCCCGGTGACAGGGGCCGCTCGGGCCCTCATGCTGATGGAAACCACTGCTGGGGCCGGTGCTGCGGTGCGGCAGGCTGAACAGTCACCTACGGGGCCAGCATCCCTCGGGAGTGCCAGCACCCTCAGGAGTGCCAGCCTGAATCCCGGCTGCTCCACTTGTGATCTAGTTCCCTGCTCACGCACCTGGGCCAGCAGCGGAGCAGGGCCCGAGCGCCTGGGAGACCTGGGAAAGCTCCTGGCCATGCACAGCTCAGCCTCGGCCGTGGCGGCCATTTCGGAAGCTAACAGGCGGATGGAAGAGCTCTGCCTCTCACTCTAACCCTGCCTTTCCAAAATCAATCCTTAAAAAAGAAAAAGAGGGTTTACTTAATTTTTATTGGAAAGGTAGATATACAGAGAGGAGACACAGAAAGATCTTCCATTCACTGATTCACTTCCCAAGTGGCTGCAACAGCCAGAACTGAGCCGACCCGAAGCCAAGAGCCAGAAGCATCTTCTGAGTCTCCCACACGGGTGCAGGGTTCCAAGGCTTCAGGCCGTCCTCTGCTGCTTTCACAGGATACAAGCAGGGAGCTGGATGGGAAGTGGGGCAGCTGGGATATGAACCAGTACCCAAATGGGATCCTGGTGCTTGCAAGGCAAGAACTTTAGCCACTAGGTTACTGTGCCGAGCCCATAAGTCTTTTTGAAAGGGGGAAAAAAAAAAACAGCTTCTGTCTCGTCCCACGTGAGCTGTGAGCCGGCAGAAAGCAGCATGTATTCGGCCACCCCACCCCCCAACCTCTGCCTCAGCGCTGGCGCTCCCGGGCCGCTCGGCAACAAGGCAGTCACCCGTGTGATCCAGCTGTGCACCACTGGCCTGCCACGGGGCCTCCACCTGGCCTAGCCCTCCCACACCCAACGGGGCAGCAGAGCTGGCCAGGGGTCCAGCCCAGGCAGCTGGCAGAGGTGTACAGACTTGCCTCCCGCCAACGATGCACATTTCTGCCCAGCTGCAGCCTCCCTGAGGACCCCCAGGCGGCACCCCCACTCTCCGGCAGCGCAGACCGTGTTTAAGGGCCTGCCTGATGAGCCAGCTCCCGTTAATTGGAGTGTCTGGCTCTAGGATTAGAGGGAGCGGTAAGGCTGGCGCTGGGGCTCCCTCCCTGTGCACCCACACCAAGGCCAGGGAGGGCCCAGCCAGCCCCTGCTGCAGCCCACTCAACACGGGGAAGTACCAGGATCCCCCGCACAGCCCATACCAGGCCACGGGGTGAGGCGCAGCTCACGCCTGACAGGCACCTCGCTGGGGGATTTGGACGAGGCAGCAACGTGGACACAGACCCGGCCTACCAGCTGGCCAGTAGGACAGGGACAGTAGCTGGCTCCTGGTGTCGGGCAAACTTCCCTGGGAGCCTCGTGGCCAATCGGGACATGGTTCACATGCAGGGGCGGTAGCCAAGTGATGGGAGAAGTGTGGACAGCTGGGCCGCCGTGAAAGGGGCTTGTCCGAGTGCCCGCTAAGGACCTGGGCCGTGGCTGCAACCAGGACAAACAGCCAGAGGCGACCTGCTACCCGCAGAGGCTGCCAACGTCGCGGTCACCAGGGCCCAAAGCTGCCCAGGTCCACAGTCCACAGGCCCAGTGACCGTCCCCACAGGAGGCAGCAGCACTCGGTGACTCACTGTGACTCCAGGCTTCCAACAGCTCCCCCTGGACATTGCCCAGTAGGAGCAGTGAGCAGTGCCAAGCTCCCCCGAGCTGGGAGCACGGCCTGGCTTTCCACACTGAGAACCCCGCACACACGAAGCTGGCCACAGGACGGGCTGCACCCAGCCACCTGACCTCTCTGTCTGCCCCTGCGCCCCCAAACGCAGCAGGCCAAGAAGTGTGTCCGCCCCACCGCCCTGCCTCACACTCACAATGCAAGCAGGCAGCCTCCTGCAGGGAACCATCTGAGCAGTCAGTCACCAGGGCCCCAGCCACGTCAGTCGGCCACGAATCCACCTTCATGGCCAACCTGCTGGCACCTGCAGGCCCAGGCATCCTCCTGGGGTAGGCAGGCACCCAGGCTGGGGGGGTAACCCCAATTCTCATGACCAACTCTCCCACCCTCCAGGGCCACGCAGGAGACCACCAGTGGGCTCAGACATGTGCAGGCGGAGTCTACCAGAGCGCTGGCCAGGGCCTGAGGGCGCCCTCAGAGCAGCCAGCACATCCCCATAGGCCAGCTTCCCAGAGCAAGAGGACCCCAGTCAATGCCAGGGGCAGACAGCCATGCAGCAGACACCAACCCCACGGCATCCGAGTTCAATCCGTGACGTCACTAACGGGTGTCGGGGACCTGACGTCCCCAGCATCCACCCTCTGCAGCCCAGGTCCAAGGGTCAGACTCAGGTGGTCACTTCATTTCTGGTTCTTGACCACGAGATGAGGAAAGTGGAGTCACCCTACGTGACCAAGGACTCCAACGTGTGCACACTGGGACACTGCCATTGCAAAGCCGCATGGCCCCCGGACACGCCCTGGGGACACTCAACCAGGTGGCCAGAGAGGGCTGAGCACCCCTAAGCGGTCTGGACAGTTTCCAGAGGACCAGTGCCGTGGCTTAGCAGGCTAATCCTCCAACCATGGCACCGGCATCTCATACAGATGCTGGTTCAAGTCCAGGCTGCTCCACTTCTGATCCAGCTCCCAGTTAATGCTCTTGGGAGAACAGTGGAGGGTGACCAGGTACTTGGGCCCCTGCACCCACAAGCCCCTGGTTCAGATCAGCTCAGTTCCGAGCACCGTGACCATGGGAGCGAACCAGCAGGTGGTGGCTCTTTCGCTCTCCTCTTAAAAAAATCTTAAAAAAAAAATTTCTTGTACTGAAAACAAAATGCAGAGAGGGGAGGAAGAGAGGGAGCGCCAGATACAGGCACAGCCAGGGCTGCCGGGGCCGATGTCAAGCTGGCAGCAGCCTGACTGGAAACATTTTACTGGACTTGGTTATGAAATTTCCTCATGAAGCCAGGGCTGGCCGGGTTGGAGGGGGGGTGCTCAAGGTGCAGGGACCCCCTCACCAGCAGGGCCAGCTGCGGGCATCCTGGGGCCTTAAGGTGCAGGGACCCCCTCACCAGCAGGGCCAGCTGCGGGCATCCCGGGGCCCTGGGACACCCCTCGCCAGCGGGGCTCAGCTGCTGGCATTGTTACTGGGGGTGGGAAAGTAAAACTGGGTCACCCACAACCCAGCGATCAACACCGATTCCTGGAAGCTCCTGATAACAGATCTGCAGCACCAGGAAGGGGAAGCGTGGCTGGTGAGGGGCAGAGGGCCTCAAGGCGATGGACTTCTCCCCCAGGGTGCTGCCAGGCCAGGGGAGCCTCACGGCCCCTGAGAACACGCCTTCCAACAGATAGGTAAAAGCCACAGAAAGGCCCTAGGTGGTACAGCCCAGAGCTCCATGGGCCACGGACAAGAAGTTTACCTTGTCGGCCAGGAGCCAGACTAGGATGAGCCAGCCTGTGGGGCAGGCGATGGTTTGTGGACATAACGGGCTCCCGGAGAGCACCCCCACCCGCCTGGGTGCAGCTAACCCTGACAGTGCTATCCAAAGAGGGGGTGCATGGGGCTGCTCCAGGAGGCGGTCCCAGAGCTTGGGGGGACATAGGGCGGCCTCCCCCATCACACTTGGGTAAGGGACACCCAGCCCAGGCCTGCCCTCCTCCCACGCGCATTCACATCGGCACAGGCCAGGGGACCCCAACACAGCCTCCCTGCCCCCCAAGAGGTCCCAGCCCCGAGCCCAGTACACGCGAGGCCAGGCCGCTCGTGGGGGGGACCGCACCCCAGGCCGCTCGGGGGGCAGCGCACCCCAGGCTCCGGGCCAGGCCGCTCGGGAGGCAGCGCACCCCAGGCTCCGGGCCAGGCCGCTCGGGGGGCAGCGCACCCCAGGCGGGAAGTGGTCGGGGCGGTGCCCGCGCCCCCCAGGAGAGGCCGAGAGGCCCGCGGGCGGGAGCGGCCTGCGCCGGGGCCCCGCAGGCCGCACCTGGTCGGCGAAGTCCTCGGCCGTGCCCATCAGGTCGTTCTGCCCCATGGCGGCGGCGGCGGCTGCTGCTGCGGTTCGGCCTCGCCCGTCGGCGCCCGCTGCGGCCTCCACAGGAAGTGCCCGGCGGCCGGCCTCGCTGCGCGGCGGCGGCGGCTCCGGCGGCTGCCACGTAGGCCAAGCCTTAAAGGGGCCGCGCACGCCCGCGGCCCGGCTGCAGGCCCCGCCCCCGACGCCGCGCCCCGCCCTCACGCTGCGTTCTGCCTCCCGCCCGCGACGCCCGGCCCCGCCTCGCTCCCGGGCCCCGCCCCCGACGCCGCGCCCCGCCCTCACGACGCCAGGGCCCCGCCCCTCCACTACCACACAGGCCCCGCCTCCTGCGCCCGTGGCTCCGCCTCGCCCCGACGCTACTTCCGGCCCCGCGCCCCGCCCTCACGCTGCCTCTGGGCACCGTCCCTGCCGCCAGGGTCCCGCCCCTCGCCCCAGGCCCCGCCTCCCGCGCCCGAGGCTCCGCCCCGCAGCCGGGCCCCGCCCACCGCCTCAGCTCCCCGCGGCCACCCCGAGGGGTCAGCGTCCGTCCGGGCCCCGCCCGCCGCCTCCGGTGTCCTCAGCAGACGCCGCTCGGGGACCGGACGCGGAGCTGAGTGGAGGAGGCTTCCCCTGGAGACTGCATGGAGAAGTACCAGGTGCCCTGGGGCCGCCCAGACGCCCCCAGGTGTAACGGTCATGCCCCCCATCGCGGGAGGCGGCCCCCAGCTGGTGGTCAGGCGCCTGTAGGTCCGATCCCGGTTCCTACCGGCCGGGAGCTTCGCCGGGGCTCCCGCGTGGGTTCAGGGCCTCAGGACACCAACCAGGGTTCCAACTGCCGGGGTGGAATGTCGGGCCACAGGCGGTGGCTGTCGTATGCTGCCCGTAGCACTGGCCCCCAGAGAATTTTAAAAGCTTTGTTTTCAAGAAAAGGGAGGGTCATTGCTCTGGGATGTCCAGCTCCGAAGTAGCCCCAGAGAAGGGTCCCAATGCTGGAGAGCTCCTCAGCCTTCCTGGTACAGCCAGGGGAGAGGACAGTGGCTCTGTCCGCCCCACGCAGGTGCACCTGTGGGCATTTCTGGAAAGCTGGTCTCTCCCTTGCTATTATTAGGTTTTGCAGTGGCTGAAGCCCGGGGCTTTGGGGACGAACCTGGTGGTACAGGAGACGCAAAGCAAGGTCAAGTGGTTGATGAAGCAGGTACGAGGCAGGGTCCTGCCGCCACGCAGTGGGTGGTGACCCCAGCCCGTGTTGGAGACCCAGGTCCCAGGGGGCCTTTCCTGTCGCGGCCAGGCCCTAGGGTCGATGGGGGAAGGGACACGGATGGTCACTCCAGCTGCTTTGGCATCACCTGCCATACGCTTGTGGCAGATGCCAGTCGCCAACTCGTTTCCTTTCCTGCCTGTCCAGCAGAGAAGACCCCAGCTGGCCATCCCCGACAGCAGGCCTCCGGGCAGCTCCAGCCCTGCCAAAGCTACATGGTTCCAGCAGGATTCGAATTCAGGGCACCTCCCCCAACCCTGGACAACATTCCCAGTTTCACTAAGAGGGAGCAAGGCCCAGAGAGGCAGGGGCCCAAGGCAGCACAGCACTCCTGACGCTGGGCACTTCTTCCACCCCTCCCGAGGCTGGCAGGGCGTGTGGAGGTACCCCCTCTTCGTGTTCCTAGCATTGGGTGGCCAGGTAAGCCAAGTGTTCCAGGACAGGCTGCCCTGGGTGCCAAACACGTCCTCCTCTGGGTGGCGTGCTCAGCAGCCCCGTCCCAGGAGGCCCGGCGACCTGGAGGCCTCACCACCTACTTGTCTGTTTCTAGTTGAAGCCATTGGCCAGGATGCTGACTGCTTTGTGGACTGTCGAGAGACTTTTAAAATATTTATCCATTCATTCAGACATTTAGGCCTGCATTGTGACATGGTGGGCAACACCGCTTACCTGCTGTACCAGCATCCCGTATGGGTGCCAGATCACATCCCAGCCTCTCTGCTTCTGATCCAGCTCTCTGCTCATGGCCTGGGAAAAGCAGTAGAAGATGGCTCAAGAGTTTGGGCGCCTGCCCTCCACGTAGGAGATCCAGAAAGTCCAGGTGCGTGGCTTTGGCCTGGCTTGAGCTGGCCACTGTGGCCTTCTGCGGAATGAACCAGCAGGTGGAAGATCTCTATTTATTTATTGGAAGAGTGACAGGAAGAGAGTGGATCTTCCTCCTGCTGGTTCACTCCCTGGCAACAGCCGGGGCTGGCCAGACCCAGGCCAGGTCCCCCTTGTATGTCAGCCAACACCTGCCGCCTGCCGAGGTGCATGACGGAGCTGGGTCAGAAGCGGAGCCGCGGGTCTCCCACCAGCACCCTGACAGGGAAGGAGAGCTGCTGTGTCACAGTGCGGTCCCGAGGGCTCGGTCAACCAGCCAGTCCTGTCTGCCTGAACAGCACGGGGGTGGAAGAGCAGGCAAGAATCTGTACACACACACACAGCATACACAGGTCACACACACACACACCCGGATCACACACACTCAGGTCACATGTACATACAGCCCGGTCATACGCGCACACACACTCAGGTCACACACAGAGGTCACACACACTTACACCCAGGTCTCTCACACACTCACACACAGCTCTTCTTGGAGCATTCCCAGACTGGCTTATTTCTATGAGAACCTGTGGCTGAGGCTGCTAGCTTCCCGGAACACCTGATGACGTGTCTATGCCGCGAGCTCAGCTTCCTCCCGGCCTGGCTCTGGTGATCAGGCCTCCTCTGCCCTTGCCAGGTGATGCGCCATGATGGACACTGCCCAAGGTGGCGCTGCTGTTCTCACTGTGCACACAAAGCAGATACGCAGCCTTACAGCTGGCTTGTTCTGGGCCTCCACCGTCAGGAGAATCCCAGTGCAACACTGTGATGCCTTGACCGGCCGCCCCTGTCGCCGGCCCCCAGGAGACACAGGCGGCCCACAGACATCTCGGGTCCCTGAGTACCTGGGAACAGGTCCCTCCGTCCAGTGGCATCTGTGGTCACCCCAGTGCAGATGCTCCTGCTGACCCATTCGGCGTGTCGTGGTGGAAGAGTGTGCTCCACCCACTGCCCACGCCTTCCCTTTCCGTGTGGTCCCCCATGTGCACTCATAGAAGCCATGGGCAGGGCGAGGGGCTGCCACGCGGGCAATGCAGGCACAGAGCTGGCACCCCCGCACCTTCCCACTACCGTCTACCCTGCTCTCCCACTGCCCGAGATGGGATGCTGCGCTGATTCCAAGTGTGTCCTCGTCACACAGTGCATTTTGAGGTCACTGTGTTAGGAACATGTGCACCCCAGTCTGATGGCACGTGCTGGAGGCATGACAGTGGGAGCATGGGACCCTGTGAGCACACGGATGGTGGGGACGATGGCGGGATGACAGCAGCTAAGCGATTAGCGACATGATGCTGGTGGCCATGGTGATGGTAGTGTCAGGCTCAATGCTGGAGGAAGTGACGGGGGTGGCAGTGGTGTGGTGGTGGTATGGACGAGGTGGCAGTGGTGTGATGGTGGTATGGAGGAGGTGGCAGTGGTGTGGTGGTATGGAGGAGGTGGCAGTGGTGTGATGGTGGAGACGGACGAGGTGGCAGTGTTGTGATGGTGGAGACGGAGGAGGTGGCAGTGGTGTGATGGTGGTATGGACGAGGTGGCAGTGGTGTGGTGGTGGTATGGAGGTGGTGGCAGTGGTGTGGTGGTGGTATGGACGAAGTGGCAGTGGTGTGGTGGTGGTATGGACGAGGTGGCAGTGGTGTGATGGTGGAGAGGGAGGAGGTGGCAGTGGTGTGGTGGTGGTATGGACGAGGTGGCAGTGGTGTGGTGGTGGTATGGAGGAGGTGGCAGTGGTGTGGTGGTGGTATGGACGAGGTGGCAGTGGTGTGATGGTGGTATGGGGAGGTGGCAGTGGTGTGGTGGTGGTATGGACGAGGTGGCAGTGGTGTGATGGTGGTATGGAGGTGGTGGCAGTGGTGTGGTGGTGGAGAGGGAGGTGGTGGCAGTGGTGTGGTGGTGGTATGGAGGTGGTGGCAGTGGTGTGTTGGTGGTATGGAGGAGGTGGCAGTGGTGTGATGGTGGAGAGGGAGGAGGTAACAGTGGTGTGGTGGTGGTATGGACGAGGTGGCAGTGGTGTGTTGGTGGTATGGAGGAGGTGGCAGTGGTGTGATGGTGGTATGGACGAGGTGGCAGTGGTGTGATGGTGGTATGGGGAGGTGGCAGTGGTGTGATGGTGGTATGGGGAGGTGGCAGTGGTGTGTTGGTGGTATGGACGAGGTGGCAGTGGTGTGATGGTGGAGAGGGAGGAGGTGGCAGTGGTGTGGTGGTGGTATGGACGAGGTGGCAGTGGTGTGATGGTGGTATGGGGAGGTGGCAGTGGTGTGATGGTGGTATGGGGAGGTGGCAGTGGTGTGGTGGTGGTATGGACGAGGTGGCAGTGGTGTGATGGTGGTATGGAGGTGGTGGCAGTGGTGTGATGGTGGAGAGGGAGGAGGTGGCAGTGGTGTGGTGGTGGTATGGACGAGGTGGCAGTGGTGTGATGGTGGTATGGGGAGGTGGCAGTGGTGTGGTGGTGGTATGGAGGTGGTGGCAGTGGTGTGGTGGTGGTATGGAGGAGGTGGCAGTGGTGTGGTGGTGGTATGGATGAGGTGGCAGTGGTGTGATGGTGGAGAGGGAGGTGGTGGCAGTGGTGTGGTGGTGGTATGGAGGTGGTGGCAGTGGTGTGTTGGTGGTATGGAGGAGGTGGCAGTGGTGTGATGGTGGTATGGACGAGGTGGCAGTGGTGTGTTGGTGGTATGGAGGAGGTGGCAGTGGTGTGATGGTGGTATGGACGAGGTGGCAGTGGTGTGATGGTGGTATGGGGAGGTGGCAGTGGTGTGATGGTGGTATGGGGAGGTGGCAGTGGTGTGTTGGTGGTATGGACGAGGTGGCAGTGGTGTGATGGTGGAGAGGGAGGAGGTGGCAGTGGTGTGGTGGTGGTATGGACGAGGTGGCAGTGGTGTGATGGTGGTATGGGGAGGTGGCAGTGGTGTGATGGTGGTATGGAGGAGGTGGCAGTGGTGTGGTGGTGGTATGGACGAGGTGGCAGTGGTGTGATGGTGGTATGGAGGTGGTGGCAGTGGTGTGATGGTGGAGAGGGAGGAGGTGGCAGTGGTGTGGTGGTGGTATGGAGGAGGTGGCAGTGGTATGACGGTGGTATAGACGAGGTGGCAGTGGTGTGATGGTGGAGAGGGAGGAGGTAACAGTGGTGTGGTGGTGGTATGGAGGAGGTGGCAGTGGTGTGGTGGTGGTATAGACGAGGTGGCAGTGGTGTGGTGGTGGTATGGACGAGGTGGCAGTGGTGTGATGGTGGTATGGAGGTGGTGACAGTGGTATGACGGTGGTATAGACGAGGTGACAGTGGTGTGGTGGTGGTATGGAGGTGGTGGCAGTGGTGTGATGGTGGTAATGGAGGTGACAGTGGTGTGGTGGTGGTATGGACGAGGTGGCAGTGGTGTGATGGTGGTATGGGGAGGTGGCAGTGGTGTGATGGTGGTATGGAGGTGGTGGCAGTGGTGTGGTGGAGAGGGAGGAGGTGGCAGTGGTGTGGTGGTATGGAGGTGGTGGCAGTGGTGTGGTGGTGGTATGGAGGAGGTGACAGTGGTGTGGTGGTGGTATGGAGGAGGTGACAGTGGTGTGGTGGTGGTGATCGACATGACGGAAGTGATGGGTCAGGTCCATCGAGCTGAGTTAGTATCCGTCTTGCTCCTCCAGGTGGAATGCATTGATAAGCACCAAGCCGATGAGGCCCTGGAGGAGGTGAGTCTTTGGGGGCAGTGCCCCCCACACACTGTGGGCTGAGGGCTCCTGTTGTAAGTGGGAAAGTGAAGCATGCGTGGGAGGACTCCTGCATCATGACAGGAGTCGCTGCCCAGCACTCTCGGGATCGGTGGAGTGCCGCACAGTCGGCCTGAACCCACACTGGGACAGAGGAAGTCTGCATGGCGGCCAGGCTTTCAGCCGCTGTGCCAGGAGCCGCCTTCCTCCGTGCTCCTAGTGCTGCCGAGCCGAATGTGTGGGTCCAATACTGCCCACGGGGTTGTTGGGAGTACACGGCGGGAGGGCCCATAAGCCGGGAGCCACACGGCCGTCTACGAGGCCTGCTGTCTGCCTGCCGGCGCCTTGCCCCACCCAGCCGTCACCTGCCCTCTCCTGGAGCTTTGCCAGCACAGGGCTGCGCTCGGACCACATCCTGACAGAAGGGAAGAAAGAACATGAGGGAAGCCCAGCCCACCCCCACACCTATTCCCCTCTGTCCTGTGGAGGAGCCTGCTTTCTCACCCACACTGCTGCTGCTACGAGTTGGCCTGGGCTGCGGGAAGCCACCCCTGTCACCTTTCACTGGGGGCAGAGGACATGGGCACTGCCAAGCCCGTAGCCACTGGCCCTTATGGCCAGCCCTGGGCCACCTCAGCCTGCCACTGTCAGGTGAGAATGTAAGGCTGATAAAGGTGGAAGAGCCTGTCTCGGCCCCGCAGCAGTCAGCTCGGGCTGGCCCTTCTGGCTCTTCCGGGCAGCACAGCCTCCCTGTGGCCACTCCGCTGGCCTGCTCGGGGCCAGCCACTGGCATTTTACCTGGGAGAGGGGACGAAAAGGCCGAGGTGCGAGCAGCGTCCCCAACCCCTCGTCCTCTCGCTTGGCATGGCCCGCAGATGATGCCGCTGCTGGAACTGCAGCACGCCCACATCTCCACGTACCACGAGGTGTTCATGATGTGGAACCAGGAGGTGGGTGGCCTGGTACCCACAGCCCTCTGCCCCTCAGACCCATGGTGGGGACCCTGAATGCGGCTGCTTCCGCGGGACTGTGCTGGAGCCCCCCAGCAGCCTCCCTGCGAAAAAAAAAAAAAAAGCTACCCAGTTTATAGGAAAAAATGAGGTTATGCAGCCAGCAGGGGCTGGGCCGGAGGCCAGGCCTCAGCACCAGAGTCCCCCCAGCTCACCCCACCATGACCAGAGGCTGAGCAAGCCACGGGGGCTTGCACTTTGGCGCCTCTGGAGCCCTCCCTGGTAGCTCCAACCTCCTGTCCTGTGGAGGCGGGTGGCTGACCGGATCCTATTGGGTTTCCACTGGGGCCCTGCCTGGAGTTGAGGAGCCCAGGCCTGAGTGGGAGCAGGGCGTCCCTCCCCAGCCTCTGGAAGCATGCTCCCCTCCTTCTGAAGAAGGGGCTCTGGGCTGTGCCTGGAGGAGGCGTGGGCTCGGCAGGTCCCAGGCTGAGGCGTCTGGCGCGTCGGCAGGTCTCATCCCTGTTCCTCTGTCTGGTGATGGAGCACAGCAAGGGGAGCCTCCACAGGGTCATCGAGAGTAAGCGGAAGGCGAAGGAGGCCGTGGACGCCGCGGTGAGACCCCAGGGCCCCGTGAGGCGAGGCTGCTGTGGCCTCAGCGTGACACGCTCTGAAAGTGTGTGCTCACGTGACATCTGTGGTTGTGCTGGGTGTGTGTGTGCTCACGTGACTGGCCGCTTGCCCCACAAAGTCCTGCCGGGCATGCAGCTCCTCCCAGTGTGGCCTCAGGGCAGCTCTACCTTTGACAGCATCAGGGGGCAAACCCCAAGCAGGCACTGAAGGTTTGCTGGCCCTGGAGCTGGAGCAGCAAGGCACAGGAACACAGGGTCTGGGGATGAGGCCCTAGCCTCCTGTGCTGGCTCATGCTCTTGGGACCTTGGGGTCACCCAGGAGCTCTAATCCCCTCCCATCCATCTCCCTCACTTCCCAGTGGCTACAGAATGTGCTGGGCCAGGTGCTGGACGCCCTGGAGTATTTGCACCAGCTGGGCATCGTCCACAGGTGAGCAGGGCCACCTGCTCTTGTCACAGCTGAGCAGGCTTCTGGGCATGTGGGGCACCAGCTGGGTCTATGGTGCAGGCAAAGCGAAAGGGACCGCCCAGAGGCGAGGCAGCGGCCTGTGTGGCCTCTGGCCCGCCGGCCACATGGCCCCGCATCCCAGGAAAGGACCTCCAGCAGGAACTCCACAGGTTCTTCCATGCTGCCCACGTGTGCTCGGCTGGCACGCATTTCACCAGATGTCCCCCTCGGGCTAGCCAGGGACTCCAGCAACTGCTGGGGTTTGAATTTTCCCTTAAAGGAGGAGCACCGGGTGCACTGATGCCGCTCAGAAGCAGAGTGACCTGAGAAGGGACGTTTTGCTGAGGGCAGCAGAGGGGTGGGCTGCTCGGGAGCAGTGGGAGGGGGCAGAAGGTAACACCCTGCCCCAAGGGCCCCCAGTGCCCCCAGGATGGTCCTCTCTCTCTTGGTCTCAGGAACCTCAAGCCATCAAACATCACCCTGGTGAGCGACAACCACTGTAAGTTACAGGACTTGTGCTGCAACAAGCTGATGGTAGACGAGGCCAAGTGGACCATCCGAGCCGAGGAAGGTAGCTGCTCTTAGGCTTCCGGGGGGCCCCAAGCATGCACAAGAGAATTCTCGGGGGTGTGCATCTCAGAAGTGCTAGCTCTTGTGGGTGGGAAAGCCTGAGAAGGAAGGACACGCATGCGTCAGGCTCTGGCTATACCAGGGTGCAACCCTTGAAAGGGCACAGGGCTTCACGCCTATGACGGCTGTCTGGGTCAGAGGCAGAAGCCACAGTGGGCCATCCTGCAGTCCCAGGGTAGAAGGCAACAATGAAAGTCCTGGTTTCACAGAGAACAGAAAAGTGGGTAGATGGAAGAATGGATGGATGGGTGATGTGTAGATGCATCAACTGATGATGTCTGCGCGGATGGACAGATGGGCGGGTGCGTGCATGGGCCGGCGAAAGTTGGCTGGATGTAGGGGGAGTTGTATGGATAGGATACTGGAGGGGTGGGTGGGTGGATGAGACTGAAGGATGGGTGGGTTGGTTAGTGGGTTAGTAGATGGGTGGGTGCATGGATGGATGGGAGGGTGGGTGGATGGATGCATGGTTTGGTGGGTGGAGGGGGAGTTTTCTGAATGTATAAGTGGAGGAATGGTTGGGTAGATGCATAGACAGATAACCGGATGGATGGGTGGGTGAATGGATTGGTGGAAGGATGGGTAACTGGTTAACTGAATGGATGGATAACTGGATGGGTGGGTAGAAGAGTGGGTTGATGGGTGATTGGTTGGATGGAGTTGATGGGTGGATGCATGCATGCATGGATCAGTGGACAAATGGGTGGATGGCTGGGTAGTTGGATGTGTGGGTGGATGGATGGGCTAACTGAAGGATGGATGTTGGGTGGGTGGAAAGGTGGGAGGGTGGAGTGGGAATTGGACAGAGGCATGGATGGATAACTGGATGGATGGTGGTGGATACACAGATGGATAAGTGGATGGGTGGGTGGGTAGAGGATGGATTGATGGTTGGGGTGGGTAAAAGAGACCGGATGCATGATTGGTTAGATGTTTGGTGATGGGTAGTGGGCACAGACCTTTGGGAAGTGGAGGTTTAGGGATGAAGGGCTGCCTGAGACCAGTTAGGGACTAACAGGCCTGGATGAGGACCTTGCTGTCTAGTTCCTCTTGGGGGCTCAGACACAGAGCCTGAAGCAGCACACCTGCGATTGATGCCAGAGCCCTTACGCCTGCAGGGAGCACAACACAGAGCTACAAGATGGCCTTTTGGGGCCTGCCTCCCACAGCTGGCAGCAGCCTTCATGGGCACTGACACTCATGCCCACAGCCAGTGTGGCGGGCCCCTTCCCAGCTGCCCTGAACAGGGTGACAGAAGGATGCCCAAGTGCTGGGCAGGGTGGGTTGGCCCTACCCTTGTCCTCAGATTGTCTAGGACTCAGCAGCTCCCCTGTGCTGCTCCTGCCCACAGACCCCTTCCAGAAGTCCTGGATGGCGCCCGAGGCCCTCAGCTTCTCCTTCAGCACGCAATCGGACGTCTGGTCTCTGGGCTGCATCCTTCTGGAGATGGTCAGCTGTTCGTTTTTGGAGGTGAGCCCCTGCTGCTCGCTGCTGCCCGGGAGCATGCCCACTCAGCCAGCCTCCCTGCTCCCAACCCTCAGCAAGCCATCCCTCACTCTCACCCTGACCCACTCCCACAGAGCTGCCCCAGCCCAGGTACCCTGGTTTAAATAAAAGGGAGGACACGGCTGTGCAAGGGAAACCTGGGCCTGAACACACTTGTGCCTCTCAGGGGGGCTCTCCCTACCCTGGCTGTAGGGCACCTGGCAGGATGAGGCTTGTGGGGCCGCAGGAGGGAAGCCAGGCCCCAGGCTCTGCTCCTCCCAAGCCCATGCCACCACCCAGGTCCCCCAACAGTGTAGGCTCCCGGCCACACCCCCAGAATCTGTCCCGGAACTACTGCCTGCTGCTGCCTGCCTTGGAAAGATGCCCCAGGAGACTGGGAGACAAAGGTGCAGGAGGGAGTGTGTGCTTGGTGCTGACCCCGGCCCACGTGGCTGGGTCGTCTTGCAGGCTGGATGCAGATCCGCAGCCTCCTGGAGCAATGTCTCCAGCCGCAGCTGGACCATGGAATGCCACCCACTCCTCTAAGCCTCCTTCTCTTGGCCGAGCTGGAGGCTCTCGTGGCCTCATCAAAGTTGGGGGTCCCTCCATGCCTCCAGCTCACTCTCCTGCCAGGGCCAGGCCAGTCTCCTGCAGCAGCACCCTCTCTGGCAGGCGACAGAGGCCATGCTCCTGCGGAAGTCCCTCCGCCAGGACCCAGGTGGCCTGGGGGCCGTGCTGAAGACCATGGAGGAGAGACAGATCCCAGACGCAGACACCTTCTCACAGCTGCTACCGCTGATGCTCCAGGTCAGACCCCTGGACCGCATCTCCATCAGGTGAGCCCAGGATCCAGGGTTCCATTGGCACCTGCTGACTTCCCTGTCAGCACAGCCTTGCGCCCAGCACCGCGTGGGTGGGCACACACACATCTCAGCCATCCCAGCTGTCCAGCTGCCAAGGATGTGACATGTGCTTGGGGTGCTGCTGAGCCAGCATTGCCCCCGCGCAGTGGGAGAAGCGGTCCTAAGGCCTCATGCACTTGAGGGGCAAGGTTTGAATTGCAGTTTAAAGTCAGGAGGGGAAACGACAGTGAATGTGGCCTGAGTTCTGTTTGTCCCGGGGTCCTGGCTGCGGGCTGTGAGGGAGGACTAAGGCACCGGAGCCCAGGACAGTTACCCCACATCTGCAGGGACGCAATCCGCATCACCTTCGTGAGCAACTCCTTCAAGTCCTCGTGTATCGCCCTGTCCCTGCATCAGCAGGTGGTGCCCCCGTTCATCATGGACACGCTGCTGGAAAGCAACCTGGCCAGCATCCTAGGTGGTGCGCCCATCCCGCTGCTTGGGCCCTCAGGGCTGGGCCACTCCCCTCTGTCCCCCAGGGCTAGTGCCTTCTGCAGGCCTGACACCACGGGGCCACTCCTCTCTGTCCCTTAGTGCTGTTTTGCTTGGGATACCACCCTGCTCGTGGCCCGTCCCATGGCCCGTGTCCCACCTGCCTCCTGGTCCTCTGTAACAGCCCGCTCACCCCGTACCCCCAGGACCCAGCCATCCCTCTTCAGCCTGCTCTCAGTGGCCCCCGGCCCCTTCCCACACACTACCTGCCATGGTGCGCGGTGTTGCTCCTGGAGACATGGATTTGCTGTGGGATAGGTGGCCTGGCCAGTGTCCTCGCCTGCACAGTGAGGACATGAGGAGCGCCACCTCGCGGCCTCCAGGCCAGGCTCTGCCCGGCTGACTGCCCTGTGCCCCGCAGAGGTCATGCAGAACTTCTCGAGCCGCCCCGAAGTCCAGCTCAGGAGCATGCAGAGGCTCCTGGCGATGCCTGGGGAGCAGCTAGGTAGAGATCCCAGCTCCCACCCCGCCACAGCCGCTGGGGGGGGGCGGCCCCGCTGGCCCCAGGACTTCAGGGCAGCGCCATGCTGTCCTCACAGTTATACACCTGCTGGGCATCCTCCCTGGGTCACCACACTGAGCAGGGGACATCCCTCACATGCTGATTGTTAAATATTCACTTGTTTGAAAGGCAGCAGGAGAGAGAAGGAGGAGGGAAAGAAGAGATAGAGAGAGTAGGAAATACCGAGCTCTCCTGGCTCACTCCCCAGATGGCCGCAAGCCAGGACGAGGCCAGGCTGCAGCCAGGACCCTGGCACTCCACCCAGTCTGCCACAGGACAGGGCCCAAGGACTGGGGCTTTTCCAGGCGTGTCAGCACGGAGCTGGAACAGAAACGGAGCGGGGCTTGAAGCAGCACCTGTGTGAATGCCGTGACAAGCAGCGGTTTGACTTGCTGCATCACAGCCCTGGCCACCTCCACGTGGTTCCTGTGGCACTGCGTGACCCCCTGACTGCCTCTCTCTGCCGGCTTCCAGTGGGTGTTCTTGTTTTCCACTGGCATAAGTAGCACCACAAAGTACTCCCGGAGCCTGGGGGTGTCCAGGGTGTGTCCATTGCTGCCGGGGCGTTTCCTGATTCTGAGTGTTTTCACAGTGCTAGACAGCCCTATGGCAGCTCCCCATCTCAGAAATGCACAGACACTCCACCACAACCACTGTTGGCATTCATTGCAGCGATTTTTTTCAGTGATATTGAAAAAAGGAAACTTACAATCTCCCCATGTATGCAGTCTTACCTGCCAGATGTTCCATCCCCGTAGTCATGCACTCATCCAGTCAGCCACCCATCCTGCATCTATATACCCCTCCAGCAAGCCAGCCAGTTCAGCTTGCCCACCTGCCATTCAAAAATGCAACCACCACCCAACCAACAACCCATCCAGTCAGCCACTTATCTGGATCCACCTGCCACAGAACCACCTGCACGCACACACACCCATCCATCCACCCAACCGCCCTCACGGCCACCCACCCATCCATCCACACACACACAGGAGGTAAGCACATATCCTCTCACCCCTCCACCCATGTATACACCTCCTGTCCACTATGTAAACACCTCCTGTCCACCATGTAAACACCTCCTGTCCACCATGTATACACCTCCTGTCCACCATGTAAACACCTCCTGTCCACAATGTATACACCTCCTGTCCACCATGTAAACACCTCCTGTCCACCATGTAAACACCTCATCTCCACCATGTAAACACCTCCTGTCCACCATGTCTACACCTCCTGTCCACCATGTAAACACCTCCTGTCCACCATGTATACACCTCCTGTCCACCATGTATACACCTCCTGTCCACCATGTAAACACCTCCTGTCCACCATGTCTACACCTCCTGTCCACCATGTAAACACCTCCTGTCCACCATGTCTACACCTCCTGTCCACCATGTCTACACCTCCTGTCCACCATGTAAACACCTCCTGTCCACCATGTCTACACCTCCTGTCCACCATGTAAACACCTCCTGTCCACCATGTAAACACCTCCTGTCCACCATGTAAACACCTCCTGTCCACCATGTAAACACCTCCTGTCCACCATGTAAACACCTCCTGTCCACCATGTCTACACCTCCTGTCCACCATGTAAACACCTCCTGTCCACCATGTCTACACCTCCTGTCCACCATGTAAACACCTCCTGTCCACCATGTAAACACCTCCTGTCCACCATGTAAACACCTCCTGTCCACCATGTAAACACCTCCTGTCCACCATGTAAACACCTCCTGTCCACCATGTCTACACCTCCTGTCCACCATGTAAACACCTCCTGTCCACCATGTAAACACCTCCTGTCCACCATGTAAACACCTCCTGTCCACCATGTAAACACCTCCTGTCCACCATGTAAACACCTCCTGTCCACCATGTCTACACCTCCTGTCCACCATGTCTACACCTCCTGTCCACCATGTCTACACCTCCTGTCCACCATGTAAACACCTCATCTGCACCATGTAAACACCTCCTGTCCACCATGTATACACCTCCTGTCCACCATGTAAACACCTCCTGTCCACCATGTATACACCTCCTGTCCACCATGTAAACACCTCATCTGCACCATGTAAACACCTCCTGTCCACCAGGTAAACACCTCCTGTCCACCATGTATACACCTCCTGTCCACCATGTAAACACCTCCTGTCCACCATGTAAACACCTCCTGTCCACCATGTAAACACCTCCTGTCCACCATGTCTACACCTCCTGTCCACCATGTAAACACCTCCTGTCCACCATGTAAACACCTCCTGTCCACCATGTAAACACCTCCTGTCCACCATGTAAACACCTCCTGTCCACCATGTAAACACCTCCTGTCCACCATGTATACACCTCCTGTCCACCATGTAAACACCTCATCTGCACCATGTAAACACCTCCTGTCCACCATGTAAACACCTCCTGTCCACCATGTAAACACCTCCTGTCCACCATGTAAACACCTCCTGTCCACCATGTAAACACCTCCTGTCCACCATGTAAACACCTCCTGTCCACCATGTAAACACCTCCTGTCCACCATGTAAACACCTCCTGTCCACCATGTCTACACCTCCTGTCCACCATGTAAACACCTCCTGTCCACCATGTAAACACCTCCTGTCCACCATGTAAACACCTCCTGTCCACCATGTAAACACCTTCTGTCCACCATGTAAACACCTCCTGTCCACCATGTATACACCTCCTGTCCACCCATGCATTCTTCCATCTGTCCGTTTCTAGACAAAGCACACTTGGAATTCTCACAGGCTGTGCCCGGTGCTGGGCATTACAGATCCTGGAGGCTCAGCTCTGACCCCTCCTTGTGGAGCCGGGACATGGCCGAGAGTCCAGGGGCAAGGGTTCTCCCCTTGCAGGGACTGCAGGAAGTTCGGGGCGCCTTCCCTAGAGGTGAGCCTTTCCCACAGCCTGGAGCCACACTGCCTTGGAAGTGCCTTGTCATTCCTCCAGTGCCAAGCCTGCTGTGGGCGGTTGTCACCCTCATTTTTCCTATGAGGAAGAGGCCAGGGGGACCAGCATTGAGGAAGGATCACAAGCTGTTGCCTCTGGCCCCTGTGGTGGGCAGCTCCTGGCACATAGCAGGGCTGGGTGGGGCCCACACGTCCACTTGGAGGCTGGCCCTGCTGTAGGCTCAGGTGACAGAGCAACTGCTCTCATCCCACTGGGCCCGTCACCCCAAGGACCTGCTGGGCCCCTCACCGAGCTGTGGGAGGCTTGCTGGGGCACGCCTCTCCCCTGTGCCCCTGCCCGCAGGTCTGCCGTGGCCCACGGAGCTGGTGGAGCTGGTGATCAGCACTATGAAACAGCATGAGAGGCTCCTGGACGTGCAGCTGTGCGGCTGCTCTCTGCTGCTGCGTGTCCTGGGCCAGGGTGGGTGTCACACCACAGCCCTCCCGACCCAGCCAGCTGGCTCCTGGCCACAAACCTAGGAGCTGGGCATAGGGGTCCTCCAGGGGGGTCCTTGGCCATAGTGGGAGCTGAGCCCCTGGGACCCTGGTTCCCCAGCAGTGTCTGCAGTGTTAAGGCTGAATGCCCTGGGACTCCCAAAGAGCCAGTGCTCCGTTCCCATCCAGCTGCATGGGGAGGGTGTCACCCCATGGTCTGTTTGAAGCAGGTGTGTTGACACGCGTGGTCTGGCTGGTTGCCATGGGGCTGCAGCCCTGGATATGGGCAGACAGGGCCCTGGTCCTCGCCTTACTGGGCCTGGATGCCAGGCCATGACCACTGAGTGGAGGTGTAGATCCCGGGCAGAGGGGGGCACCCCGAGTCCTGGTTTCAGAGTTTCATCGCAGGTTTTTTCCTGGGCCTGGAGCAGCACTGGCCCAGGACGCGTCAGCCGAGGCCCACTGGGACAATGCCATGATGTCCAGCCTGCTGAGTGTCCTGCGCAGTCACCGGCAGGCCAGGCAGCTCGTCGTGATGGTCTACAGCACGCTCACCATCATCTGCAGCCAGGGTGAGCCGGCCACGCCCAGGAGCTGCCGGCCTGCGCGTTAGCGGCTCTGTGCCACCTGCGGTTAGGTGCTTGCTCCTGTCCCCATGGCAGTTCCCACATCCTCCCCCGAGGGATGCACACCTCCTGACCTGCTGACCTCCCTGCCACTGGCTTCCTGTGCCGGATCTGGGGCACAGACCCAGTCACCCACCCACCGGGCCCAGGCTGAGCCCTTCAAGGCCCCTTGCCCATTGTTCTCCCAACAAAAGCTGGGGCTCGAGGGAACCTGGGATGGGGCAGGGATGGAGGCTGAGCCGAGTTTCTGGAGTGCGAGCCTGCACTGGAGGACAGGCCAGCTCAGTGATGCTGAGTGACGCTGGCATGGGTGATCCAGAACGAGCCCAGGCCAGAACCACACCTACATCCTCCGTGCAGTCACAAAACCTGCCCAGGAAGGACACCAGGAACACGGGTCACAGCGGGGGGCAGCGGTCCGGGAGGGCTTCCTGGAGGAGGCCTCACTCTGGGCCATCCACAGCATCCGCCTCAGAGGAGCTGCACAAGGCAGGGCTATTTGAGCACACCTTGGAACACATCGCCGAGCAGCTGGTCAGGTTCCCTGATGACAGGGACGTGTGCGTCACCAGCCTGAACCTGCTCTGGACCATCCTGGTGGACGGTGAGAGCCCCAGGGACTCCCCCATGAGGACAAGCAAGGGCTGGAGGGAGAGGGCAGGGCGGGGAAGCCATTGCAGAAGCCTGGGGCCCATGCAGGGGCCGACCCTCAACACACAAGCCCCACCAACGGCCCGGGAGTGCAAGCCCCAGCCTCTCTCCCAGCCATTGCTCCCTGGGGCTGTGCTGGCAGCGGGAGCACTAGCTCTCCGCCTCTGTGACAGGCAGCAGGAAGGCATTTGGGGTGCAAGGGCCAGCAGCAGTCCTGTTCAGCCCCCACTCCCTCTGGGCCGTCCTGGCAGGAGGGTGCCAGCAGTATCCTGGTCACAAGCCTCGGCGTCCCCTGCCCTTGTCCTGGCTCCAGCCGTCGTGGTGAACAAGGCTGCCTTGGGGAAGATCCCAAGCCTGGTCATCCAGGTGCTGTCCACTTATCCCGAGGACATAGAAATGGCCGAGGCTGGCTGTGGGGTCTTCTGGCTGCTCTCGTTGCTGGGTAAGCAGTCTAGCCCCTCCGCCTTTGGGCAGCAGGAGCTGTGGTGCTTGGAAACACAGCACCAGCCCTCCACCCTCCTCAGGCTGCATACAGGAGCGACAATTTGAACATGTGATGGCGCTGTGTCTGCATAGTGTCTGGTTGTGCCAAGACCGGGTCCTGCTGGTGAACAACGCCTGCCGGGGAATGGCCAGCCTTGTCAAGGTGTCCGGTGAGCCGTGGGAGCTGCCCCATCACCAGGCAATGCGCTGTGTTCTTTGTGGAGAGGGCAGGGGTGGGGGGGACAGCTTCCATCTGCCAGCTTACTGGGCCCCGAGAACCAGGGCTGGGCCAGGACACACGCAGGATGTGCAGCTCAACCCCGGTCTTGCGTGCGCGTGGCAGGCATGGGCCCAAGGCCGCAGGCCATCTTCTGCCTCCTTGGGCATCGGCCGGAAGCTGGACTGGGAGTGGACCAGCTGAGGTTCACACCAGCTTTCAGAGTGTTGGCAACAAATCAAGCTGCTGTGCTCCCAACACCAGCCCCTGCAAGCGGAATTCAAAACAACTCGCCATCCTGTGGGCGCCATTGCGTTTATTAGAAGGCATCTTGTCAGCTCCCTCTGCCAGCCAGCAGGCAGCCTCCTCCGGAACACCTGGGCTGCAGGCCACCTCCCACTGCTTCCCCAGGTGCACTGGCAGGGAGTCGGGTAGCTGCCAGCAGCCAGGGTTCAGCTACAGGACCCACATCACGGGCCAGGCCTCAAGGCCAGTGTCCAGGTCTCCAGCACACGCCTTCTGGCTGTCATGGAGTGCCACATGCAGCCACACACGGGAACAGCCGTCACTTGACAGAGACCACAAGCTCACACCTGCAGTAGCCAGGCCTCACAGGTGCCCCAGGTAGTGGTAAAGCCCACCCAGCCTGTGGCTTTGCCCTGTGCTCCACGCTGGGTCCCCCACAGGGACACCTTCCACAGACCCTGCAGGCCTGGTCCCCTGGGGCACCAGTGTGCTCCTCTCCTGTGCCACTTAAAAATAACCAGCTGTTCTGAGGTGAGGCTGGCTTGGCCAGACAGTAACTCACACGCAGGGTTGCCCACTCAAGAGGGACACCTTGGTCCCAGGCTGGAGTCAGAGGGCAGCAGCAGCAGAATTGGAGCAAAGGGGGCCCTGGCTCCTCTCCTGCTGGGTGCCAGTGCTCTCAGCACACGCCTCCAACTCCTGGAAGAGGGGGCTGGGACACGCCTCAGTGTGGGAATGGGGACCTTTAGCAGGCCACACCCGGGAGGACCCTCCAGGAGCCAGGTCCCCTGCTGCCCCGCACGAGCAGCAGTCCCAGGACAGGAACCCTCCCCTGCAGAGCTGGCGGCCTTCCGGGTGGCGGTGGTAGAGGAGGACCGCAGCGGCCTCATGCTGCTCAAAGACATCTACCAGCTGCACAGGGACGACCCCGAGGTGGTGGAGAACGTGTGCATGCTCCTGGCATGCCTGGCCCGCTACAGTGAGACCCTCCCCCGGGGCCCCTGGGTGAGCCTGGCGAGGGGTGTGGGCATGGCCTGGTCTCAAAGCCCCCGCCCCCAGAGGAGATCCTGCCGGAGCTGGTGTCCACGGGCATCCAGGAGCTGGTGCACGAGGTCCGGGGGCGCTTCTCATCCAGCCTGGTGAGTGGCGGCCGACAGGGAGCCCCCAGGGGGGCTGAGGGACCCCAGCCCTGAGAACCAGCAACCCACCCTTCATCTGCAGGAGCTGGTCTCCTACGCCAATGCAGTCCTCAGCAGGCTGGAGGCTTCTGCACTGCCCAGCCCCGACAAAGCAGAGCTCCCCGCTGCGCCCCAGACCCCCAACCTCCCTGGGTGCCTTCTCCCTCAGCCCTGAGGGCCAGCCCTTCCTCCGAGCCTTGGCACAGTCAGAGCTGGCCCTTTCCTGGGTGTGGGCATGGTGGTGGGGTTCAGGGCCACCTAGGGCCCTGTGTGCCATCTTCTGGTGACGAATAAATCCCACGGTCTGCTCCTCCACGGCTGGTCATCTCTGGACATGGGCAGTGTCCACTGGCGGCGACTTCATGTGACCAGACCAGGGGGCAGCATTCTGGCCTTGGAGGCCCTTCCAGAGCTTTCTGTGCTGGGGTGAGGACTCCTCTGCTGGCTCCAAACCTCTGGCTTTATTTGCAATGATACAGCTGCCCACGGGCCAAAGTCAGCATGTCGTCAGCGCGAGCAGCACTGGCCACAGTGCCAGCAGCAGGAAGGGTGAGCCCTCTGAGTGCCTCTCATGTCCGCAGCCAGTCCACCCCACAGCTGGCCAGCTCCATCTCAGGTTTAACTGAAGTCTCCAGTCAGTTCCCTCACATTTCATCTCCTGGCAGAGGCGCCTCTTTGAGGAGGGCCGTGCCCAGCAACGCCCTGGCCCCACCACGTGAGGCAGGGTGCCCACAGCGTTAGGTGTCATTGCTGCACTTCCCAGGGGTGTACCCCCGTGCGCCCCGTTCTCTGGCATGGCTCTCCCATTCCTTCCTCACCGAGACGTACAGCCTCATGGCTGCCTGAGCGTCCTGAATCTGCAGGACACAAGAGGTACCTTCAGCCGACAGCATCCTGAGCCCTCCCCTCCGGCCCCAGCACAGGCAGCACGTGGCGGGGGTTCAGGAAGCGGGGGACCCCAATCTGCAGCAGGCACACAGGCTGCGGTCAGAAAGGGACCAACATGGGGTCCTGTGGGCCCTGAGCCTGTGCTGGGCACCAAGGTCAAGGCAGACAACAGAGCTGGAGCACGAGGCCCTGGGACCTCCCATCCCTGTCGCTGCCTCCTTGGTCATTCTCAGGCCACACGCGCCCCACTTCGCGCCCTTCCGGGACACACTCACCGAACAGTGCTCTGCCTGCTGGACCCGGAGCCCCAGGATCCTTTCCGCCAACAACTTCAGGGAGGGCCGCAGGCTCTGCAAGGGCGGGCACACAGCATAAGGTGCCCATCAGCCTGGGAGGGCCGCAGGCTCTGGGAGGCCGGACACATGGCACAAGGTGCCCATCAGCCTGGGAGGGCCGCAGGCTCTGAGAGGCCGGGCACACGGCACACGGTGCCCGTCAGCCTGGGAGGGCACTGCCCAGGCCGCCCTGAGCCCCAACCCCAGTGGCTCCGGCACCCGTCACCAGAACCCAGCCACACTAGCCAGTGACCCCTGCCGCGGCAGGAAGGAGGGGTGGAGGAGAGGGCAGTGCCCTCCCGCTCAGACCCCTGGTGTGTCAGATGCGTCCAGGCTCCCCTGGGTGCCTCCTCCAGAGCAGCTGGCCCTCCCGGGGGGACCCTGCCCTCTACCAGGACCTGCCCTCTGACATGCACACTGCAGGCTGGCTCTCCTCCACTGCCTTCTCAGGCCACCAGCAGGGAGTTGGATCCAAAGTGGGGCAGCCAGGACTAGATCAGGTGCCCACATGGGATCCTGGCATTGCACTGCCACTGCAGGTGGCAGCCTGACCTGATCTGCCACAGCACACGGCAGCACCCTCTCCTGAGTCCTTCCAGTACTTGGGACCACCGTGAAGTCACTGCTCGACCTCTCCCATCCTGCTTCCTGCTCTATGGCCTTGTGTCTCGGTCCCCACCCCCAACGCAGCTGACCCATTTGGGGTTCTGGGGCTCTCAGCCACGGCCCAGCCCTGCCTACTGGGGAGTGAAACAACGGATCAAGTTCTACCACTCTGTCTTCCAAGTTGATTAAAACACATCTTAAAGTTATAAAAACTAAACATAGGGCCCGGCATTGTAGCCTAGTGACTAAAGTCCTCGCCCTTGCACGCGCCTGGAATCCCACATGGGCGCTAGTTCTAACCCCGCCAGCTCTGCTTCCCATCCAGCTCCCTGCTTGTGGCCTGGGAAAGCCTTGGGACCCTGTGCCTGTGTGGGAGACCCAGATGAGGCTCCTGGCTGCTGGCTTCAGATTGGTGCAGCTCTGGCCGTTGCAGTCACTTGGTGAGTGAATCAATGGACAGAAGATCTTCCTCTCTGTCTCTCTTCCTCTCTGTATATCTGACTATGCAATAAGAATTTTAAAAATAAATAAAACATAGAGGGAAAAAGACAAATGAGCTCTGTGACGACTAAGTCAGCTCTGAGGACCTGAAGCAGCCGAGCGTGCAGTCCCGCCCACGCCCGCCCACGCCCGCCCACCCGAGCCGTGCCCTCCAGTACCTTCACTTGCCTCTTGAAGGGCTTGTACTTCTGTGTGTCTCGGATCTTCTTTTTTGGGTGGTCAAGGAACAGTACCTAGAATGTAAATGACAAGTCTCCTGTCACGTCCAGCCTGTGCTGGTGCACACCGATCAAACGGACAGGAAGTAGGAGAGGCAGTCACCACCGGCTGCCGTCCTGCACGCCTGGGAAGTGCAGCCCACGTGGTCGGGTCTGCTCAGGGCGCCCGGCCGGCCCGGGACGCACAGGAGGGAGCAGGCCGATGATGTCAGGCCATCGTACAGTACAAGAGCCCACGGTCACAGGCCTGAGAGAACTGAAGGCTCTGGGCTCGGCGGAACCCAGGGCCAGGAGGGCCCTGTCCCCTGCTGCCCGCCCTGAGCTTCCGGTCAGCAGCCCCCAAGGGGGCAGAGGCAAGAGGCCACATCCTGCCACCTGCCCTGCCCTGTGCACTGTCACCGAGCGGGCTTCAGCAGGGACAGCCAAGCTGCATCACACAGGTGTCCAACGGGCACTACACAGTGGAGGCTGCGGCCTGGACACGCCCTGCAAGCACTCCCTACTGTTCAAGATGGTGGAAGCAGGGACACGATGGCCCTTCTGTGCGGCCCAGGCTCCTACGTCCCATGCCCCTTCAGAAGCAGCCCCAAGCATCTGCCAGAGAACTGAGTGTGACCACCCCTGCCAGCTCACAGCCCCCTGCCTGGCTGAGGGAAAACCTTGTGCTTGCCCCAGCCTGGGCGCAGCCTGCACCTGCACCTCCTCCACAAAAACCAGGGGCTGCCTGGACAGGTGTGCCATGGACACAGAGCCCCAGGGCAGCTGCCAGCACCAGGGGGCAGCAGTGTGCCGAGAAGGGCTTACATCCAGCTGCCCACGGCTCCCCCAACACAGTGAGAGCTGAGTGGCAGTGGCGCTCTTCAGCAGCGGGCCAGGAACCATGTCCCTCACCTTCAGGTCGTTGTGCAGCGCATGCCCGACCAGGATCCTGCCCTGCAGCATCGCAGCCACCTCCTTTTGCACAACCCCCAGCTCCTCGCCTGAAACCCAATAAATCCGGCCTTTAGCAACACTTGCAGGCGCACAGAGCGACAGCGCCCTCGGGACCACCCAGCACCGTGGAGCGGCCAAGGCCATGACCAGGCAGTCTGGGAAGCAAAGTCACGGCCGGCAGCTGCGCGGTCTGCAGAGGGTGGGTGACCTGCAGCCCAGAGCAGCTCAGCCTCTCCCAGCAGGCCCAGCTGGGGTCGCCTCCACCTCCACAGGCGTGCCAGCCACCACTCGGCCTGACCCAGCAGCACAAGCCATCCTCCTTGGAAGGGGAGCCACCGGTGACACTGACCACTCCCACTGCCCTGTCCCAGCCCCCGCTGGCTTCCCACACCTTCTCCAGGCTGCACCTGAGGGAACCTTCCAGAACCTACGCCAGACAAGACTCCAGCGCTGCCATCTCCCCAGATGTCCCAAGTGCTCCTGAGGGGCCGCAGACCCTGTCTGCTCTCCCCCTCCCTGTCCTGCCCAGTTCTGCCCAGGGCTCCTGAGAGAAGGGGAGCGGGGACAGCACCCTGGCCCCTGTGCCACGGAGGCCATACCATTTCTGAGGTCCTCGGGCCGCACGCCACTGACTTCCGTCCTGTAGTCGGTCACCGGCTCAGCAGGCTTGATGAACTTGTCATACACGCACTTGCCATAGCGGTTGACGATGGACACGCGGGCGGCGACGCTCTCCTCGCCTTGGGGGCCCACTCCCACCATCTCACAGTCCAGGGCCAGGGCTCTCGTCAGCCTGGGAGGGAAGCCCGAGAGCGCGGCGGGTCACCCAGCGTCGGGCGCCCCGGGCAGCCCCCCACCCCGGGGCACGTGGGCGCAGCCCCCGCCCTCGTACCCGCCGAAGGCCTGCTCTTTAACCAGGCTCACACTGCTCTCCTTCAGCCCCAGTCGGCTTCTTGCTATCCGGGCTGCCTCAGGGCCCATGGCGGCTTCGATGTCCTCCGGGTCAACGTCGTCGAACCAGATGTCTTCCCTAAAGGGCAGAGGACAGCGGGGATGGGCTCCTGCGCCTGGCAAGCACGCGCTGGCTGCGGGCCTGGCACTTCCTCGCTGTTCAGCTGCACAGCACACTCCTGCGACACTTGGCGACCATGAGGCAGACCCCAGCCCAGGCCCCCGACAGAAGACATGGCCCTGACCCCAGGCTCCCACGCGCGGCTGCGGGATCTGAGACCCACCCAGCACTCACTCTGTGGGCGGGACCGGGGCCGCCGCCTCAGCTTTCTGCTTCCGGTCTCTCGCGTCCTTGCGTTGCGCAGAAACGTCCCCACCCGTCCTGCTGGCCCGCCGGGGCCCCGTGGGGGGCAGTGGCCCCTTCTGGTGCCTCCCGGGGCCTGAGGGGACAGAGTTCCGGGTGACCGTGGGCCTGTCCTCCACTGGCGTCCCGTCTCCCCTGGCTCTGCCTCGCTGGGTCAGGTCGGGCTGCTTTTTGTCCCTCACTTGGGGAACAAGAGGCTTTTCTGGGGCCTGCAGCTTCTGTCTCAGCAGCTACAGGGACGCAAAACACAACACACGTGCCACTGAGAGGCCAACAGCGGATCTGAACCTCCCTGTCCACCCCCTCGGTCCTACCCAGCCCTGAAGGCAGCCCAGAGGGAGTCCTGGGGGCACTGGGGGAGGAGATCCCGCCCACTCCCCGGCTGCAGGCAGCCTGTTGCCCATGGGGATGCAGCCATCACCCAGGTGCCAGGGACTGCACCCCGGTGCTCCTCCCCTATCAAGTCAGGCAACTCCACCAGGGGAAGGTCCCAGCTACCAATGACAAGAAAGGTGGCCAGTGCAATGTTCCAGTGACAGAACACAGGCTCTACGCCTGCAGCACCAGTTCAAATCCTGGCTGCTCCAATTCCCATCCAGTTCCCTGCCAGTACACCCGGGGAAAGCAGGGGAGGACAGTCCCAGGCCTTGGGGCCTCTGCACCCACGTGGGAGACCCAGACGGAGCTCCTGGCTTTGGGTCAGCTCAGCTGCAGCCATTGTGGACACCCAGGAGCGAACCAGGGGATGAAAGGACTCTCCAACTCTGCCTTTCAAATACCAGTAAAAGTTAAAAAAAAAAGTCGCTGCCCACAGCAGTACTGTGAGCAGAGACCTGACGATTGAGGACAGGGCCACGTGCAGCTCTCCAATCACGTCTTTTCAACTAACCCCGGGGGGCTGCGTGCCATAACCGGGACTAGGGACCCAGGACTCAGAAGGAGCAGCAGGCAACAAATACGAATCAAGCAGTACTTCCCCACATGGGTGAGAGAAACCCCCAGGTCCCCCCAACACTCTGGCACGGCCCTCATTTTCTTGCCCCCCTGGGAGGACGAGCCCATGCCCAGGAGATGCTCAAGAACCTACTGCTTGCTTCTGGGGTGCCTCACACCTCGGTCCCCCATGTGCACAGCTCCCCTCTGCACCCCTACATCCACCCCACCTCCCCAGCCTGGCACCCTCGTCACTGCGCACAGCTCCCCTCTGTACCCCCAACGGGCCTCACCTCCTGCAGCGCCTTCCAGTTCTGGGAAAAGTCCTCCGGGGTCGTGGGAGGCCGCACGGCCGCAGCCCCGGAGCCGCCCGCCGGCCTCCCGCCCGCTCCCTTCGCCGGTCTGCTCTTCTTGCCTCTCTTCTGCGTGGAGTTCCCGACACGCGCGGCCTTGGCAGCGGCGTGGGCGCTCGGGGCGCGGGCGGAACTGGGCATCTTGGCCTTGGCCATGGCCGCGCCGGCTCCGCAGGCGGGACTCCGGGCCAGGGCAGCCCCGGCCAGCCGCCCCACAGCCCCGCACAGCCCCGGACAGCAGCCCCGGGCACCGCGGACAGCCACCCAGCAGACACGCGCCGGGCAACGGCTCCCGCGAGCTCACCCCGGAAGTCGCGCCGCACGCAGGCGCACTGCGGCCCGTCCCAGTGCTCGTCTTTTCTGAGCCCGACTGGAAACAGGGCCAGGCCCTCTGCTGTAGCTACGCGCGACCCGGAACAGAGCGGGCAGGAACAGGACGTGCGTCCCAGCGATCACCGGCCCCCAGGTGGGGTCAGCGACTTGAGGGTGTCGGCTGGCTAAACTCGGGGTCACCCTGCAAAACGCGCCGCGGGGACGCCCGAAGGGCAGATCCACAGAGAGAACGAGACAGAAAGATCGTCATCCGCTTGTTCACTGCCCAAGTAACTGCCATGGTCGGCGCCAGGAGCCAGGCGCTTCTTCCGGGTCTCCTCATAGGTGCAGGGTCCCAAGGCTTCGTCCTCAGCTGCTTTCCCAGGCCACAAGCAGGGAGCTGGATGGGAAGTGCAGCAGCCGGGACACGAACCAGCGCCCACATGGGATGCTGTTGTCACAGGCGGAGGTTGAGCACACAACACCAACCCTGGCGACTTGCTGTGTGCTCCCCCTGCTGCTTCCCACTGTCCACGCTAGCGGCCTTCACACGCGCTGGCCAGCTTGTCGTCCAGTCCTGTCTCCTAGACAGGACACTAAGAAAGTCCCAGAGCCTCCCTGGGGACTGGGCAGGAGCGAGGCCATGATGTGGGGAGGACATGAAGCAGTGGTCAGCTGTGGGAGCAGATGTCTGGCTGAGCCACAGGTGGAGGAAGCAGGACCAGGTTGGGGCCAGAGCAGGGAAAGCAGAGGAGGGGTCAGACGGGGCTCAAGGGGGAAGCAGGAAACGCCTGAGAACTTCCCCACGAGGCCCAGCTCAGGGGACCCTCCCAGAGCCAGGCTGGCTTGCAGGAAGAGGCAAAGCCCCAGGCCACTCCCTCTGAGCCCTGTTGCTCCGCGAAGCAAGCTCCGCCCAGTCCCCCTCCAGCAGGCCAGGCCTGTCTCATTCCACACTGACCAAGCTCAGGCCAGCAGGGCCTTGTGCCTCCTCGTGCAGCTGCCTGGGAATGGGCCAGCGGGTGCAGGGGGCCTGGGGGCTCCTGGCTGGGGTCCTCTTTCTCCTGTGCTGCAGAGCGCTCTCCGATTCCCAGCAGGTGCGTGTGCAGGTCTGGGTGCTGCAGACAGGTGAGGGAGGCAAGTGGGTGTGTCTTCTTGTCTGCCCACACCTGCTGGTGGGAGGTAGGGGTATGGCCGGAGCTGCAAGAATCTTCACTGGTTTGGGGGGACAGTCTGAGGTTGCCACTGCTGTCTGGGGCTCACGCAAGGGTGCATGGGCGGCTCCATGTGCCCCCCCACCCCCGGTTTCTGCCGCCCCTTGATGCCTCCTCTTCGTCTCTGCTTGCCAAGCTGTTTCTTGAGGCCGCCTTTAGAAGCTGCCTATTGCGGTGTTTCCCAGGCCCTACGGTGATGTGCACGTAGAGTGAGGGTTCAGGGTTTTCCCAGATATCTGAGAAGCTCCTACACCCATTCGTTAACCTGTCACTTCCTGCCAAGGCTCGGGAGCGCTGTTCTGGCGAGCAGAGCCCTGTGAGCTATCTCCTGGGATGGCCCCTCACTGGCGGGTCCCTCTGTCCCCGGCCTTGCCGGCTCTGGGCGTCTGGCATAAATATTTATCCTTTCTGTGGGAAACAAGATAAGTGGTAGGGAAGATGGGGAGCCCAGCTGTGTGGCTTTGGGACTTGCCTCTGGATCTAGACCCCACATTCCCTTCCCGGCTTCCCGCTCAAGCAGACCCTGGGGCTGACTGAACCCCCACCACCCACATGGGAGAACCAGATGGAATTCCCAGGAGCAGGTTGGTGCTGAGCTACGGACCAGCTCAGGCCACTGTGGGTGTCTGGGGAGTGAACCAGCGGCGGGGAGCTCTGTTCCCCCTCTTTCCTCTTGCTGTTGGCGTTGGATCAAGCTTTGTACAAACCCTGTGATGAAGACTCCCTGTGGTCTGCAGGCTGGGGCTGTGGGCCTCTGTGTGCCAGAACCAGAGGATGGGGGCGTCTCCCTCTGGGGAGCCTGCCATGCGGTATGGAGGGACAGGCAGAGCACAGGTGAACGGCCTCCACTGGGGTCGCCGGTTGCCTCCTGATGTCTCCGGGCCCAGGCTAGCTGGCCAAGCACCAGTCCAGCCTAAGTAAGGCTTGGGAGAGAGCGTGGCTGTCTGCCCCCCAGCCCTGAGCTGGCAGGAGTGAGCATGAGCCCAGGCCCTCCCTCCAGGCTAACCTCCTCTGCCGGACAGCAGGGACAACAGGTGGCTCTGCTCCCCTGTGACTGAGTGCAGATGCAGGGCTGACCATCTGAGTACCCTGGGAGAGCTCCTTCACTCCTCCTTCCGGCCCAGCAGTGACCTCCTGGTCCCTTCCTTGACCAGTGAGCGGGTAGCCAACACCCCCCTGCAGCTGCTAGCTCCCCACTGCCTCACAGACAGCCAGTCACACGTTGGGGCCACATCGAGGGGTGGCCATGGGTGTTGGAGATGTCCTCCTCTGCATCCCCTTCTACCTGCCCCAGTGAGGTGACAGAGGCACAACTTTCCAACCCCAGGCTCAGGGAGGGAAGTGGGTGCAGAAGGTCAAGTGAGTGTTCCCCGGCCCCTAACAGAGCCAGGGGCTGGTCTGGGCTTCCTGGCTCCCTGGGCACTGGGCAGTGGCAAGAGCCTGGCTTTTGAGACAGATGCTGAGTTGGGCAGGGTCAGTGGTGGCACCAGCCTCTTGCATGGGACGGGGCCATATATCCACACACTGCTCTGGAAGCAGCTGGGGAGCCAAACCCCTCGGCCGAGTGTCCCCTCCAGCAGGCGGGTCCGGTCGGGTCGGGGCCGGGACAGACAGCACTCGGCCCATTTGAAGAACCTGGGTGCCCTTCTGCTGCATGTAAGACCCCACCCAGGCTCCTGCTTCTGGACTTGCTGCTTAAGCACGAATGGGGGTCTGGGCCCTGGAGTAGGGCTGTGAGCCTGAAGGGGTATGGCTTCCCCACTGTTCAGCATAGGCAGGGCGTGCAGGGTCCTGTTGGGAGCAAGGGGCACCACGTCCCGACATTTCCCTCTGCCCTGCAGGCCGGCGCAGTGCTGGTGGGCGGAGATGAAGTTGACATTGGGCCGGCAGGCAGGCCTCACTGGGAACCCATGGCCGCAGGGTCTGTACCAGGTATAGATGCTGGGGGTGGGGGAGACTCGATGGACATTCTGAAGACACAAAAGCCACAGTTGTCCCTGAGCCTGCCCCTCCATGTGTCCAAGTGTGATGGGGCTGCGGAGGTGCGGTGGGAGGCAGCCCCTCGCAGACCGCCAGCCTCTCTCTGTTAGCTCAGCAGCCCCTGCTCGCTAGAAGCCTCTTCTTCCAGCCCTCCACCCACTGCAGGTCCCCCGAGGAGACAGAACCACACCGCAGGGGATGTCCTGCACCTGGAGCTGCTGGTGGCCGTGGGCCCGGATGTCCAGCAGGCGCACCGGGAGGACACAGAGCGCTATGTGCTCACCAACCTCAACATTGTAAGTGGGGCAGGCCCCGGGTGCCATGCTCAGGGCCTGTGGCCAAGCCAGTGGCAAGCCAGTGATTTGAACTTGGGCATAGACCTGAGGCTGGTGTGGGTCCAGGGCTGGCAGCACCTGTGGGAGAGGTGAGGGGGCCTGCTTGCACCTTCCTTCCTTCTTACTGTCCTGCCAGGTGTGTGTGGCCTGTGTAGCCCCCCATGCCTCTCCAGCTCGAGTCCCCCTGCCTGGGGTCCCCTGCAGCCTGGCTCTTCCCAGTATCTGATGATGTCGCTGCTCCCTGAGACCAGCCTCCCGGGGCTCTTGCCCCCTGTCCGGATCCCCCAGACCCATCTAAACAAGGCCCTCACACAGGCGCAGGCATCCCCAACCCTCTGGAGTGCCACCCCCATAACCCAATGTCAGCAGTGTCAGGAGGCAGCCGGGGTGCGAGCCTGGCCTCTGTGAGCTGCCGTCCGTGAGCCCGCAGTAACATTGGTGACCCCAACCCAGCTGTGCTGCTGGCCCCCACCATGCCAGGGACTCCCCCCACGAGGCTATGCTCACCAGCCTCAGGGCACGGAGCCACCTGTGATAACCCATTCTGGGCCAGAGGAGGGGCAAGCAGAGGTGCTGGGATGGCGCTGCCACCGCCAGGGCAGGCCCAGGGCGGGCCTAGCGGTCTCAGCTGCAGCAGGGTGCTCCAGCCTCAGCTCTGCTCCCGGAGCCCCACGCTGCACAGGGGTCATGGATGCAGTGTGGGAAGGAAGATTCTAGGGAGAGCTGCCACTGCTGTCCGCCTGTTAGCTGGCCTTCCTGGCTCGAGCATGAGGACCCCTGGCTGCCTGCCTGGGAGGCCTGGACACCCACACCGCTTTCCCTTCGGCAGGGGTCGGAACTGCTGAGGGACCCGTCGCTGGGGGTCGAGTTCCGGCTACACCTGGTGAGGATGGTCATTCTCACGGAACCCGAGGTAGGCACCGAACTGAGTGGAAGTGCCCACAGCAAGGGCAGCCAGAGGCCCTGCTCTCACCCTGCCCCGGCCTCCTGTGGGTTCCTGCGGGGCCGTTGATGGCCTCAGTTTGCTCCTGTTTAATATGGGGCAGTAACAGGGCTCTACTGAGTGACCCAAGTCAATGCCCTGCCTGGCTCAGCCCCTTGGACGTGGCTCTCGCTGACCCCAGCAGGGTCCGGAGATCACAGCCAACATCACCTCCTCCCTGCTGAGTGTGTGCGAGTGGAGCCGAACCATCAACCCCGCAGACGACGCCGATCCCCGCCATGCTGACCTGGTCCTCTACGTCACCAGGTAGTGAGCCAGCCCGCCTGAGGTGGGGGGAGGGGGTCATGCCTTCACCCTCTCCCCTTCCGCCAAGGTGGCCCAACTGCAGGTGGGCCCCAGGGTGGCCCTGGTCACTTCTCTCTTGTTAAGGTTTGACCTGGAGCTGCCAGACGGTAACCGGCAGGTTCGGGGGGTCACCCAGTTGGGGGGCATCTGCTCATCTTCCTGGAGTTGTCTCATCACCGAGGACACTGGCTTCGACTTGGGGGTCACCATTGCCCACGAGATCGGGCACAGGTGGGTGTGCCCGCTCACTGCCCAGGCGCTAGCCGAGGACCTGACCCGCCCTTCGCACCTCAGCCTCTCCAGGCACACAACTGATTTTTTTTTTTTACTTGAGGAATTGAGATTGCTGGACACTGCTTTTGAATTTGTGTAAATTTTATTTAATTATGTTTGTTTGAGAGGCAGAGAGAGACAACAGAGCTGCCATCAGATTCCGGGAACGGCCGAGGGCAGGCCCAGCTGAGGAGAGGGCACTCCTTCGCGGTTTCCCGTGGGGGGAGGGGAGGACCCACCTGCCACGGGGTCGCAGCTGCCGCCCACCTCGGCCAGCAGAGGCCCCAACACGTGCCTTCTTCATCTGCGTTGCTCCCAGGTGTCTCTCTCACACACACAGCCCCCCGCCCCGTGTTCAGCTGACCACCTTTTGTCCAGTAAGCAACGTCATTGTGGTAACAGCCCAGCTACTACAGAGATGCACGGCAAATAGCTTCCCTCTCGCTCGCCATTTTAGCCCTCTGGGTCACCAAGAATTCCCTGGAAGGAAGAGGATGCTGGCAGGTGTCCGGGCCCCGCCCACTCCCTGGCTCCTCCCTCCGGACAAGGCCTTCCCTTCTCAGGGGCGTGGTGCCTTGGCACCCTGGTTTCCCCACCCCACGAGAACTGACCTCCATTCTGCTTGGTGTGTGGAAGTCACTGCCTTCCACTGCCCCGAGGGGCTGCAGCCCCGGAGTGGGGTTGGAGTACAAATCCTCAGCTGTTGGAGTGCAGGTCTTGAAAGATGCCGCAGGGGCACTGGCAGAAATTCCTATGCCAGCAGCCCTGTCCCGTCCCTCACTGGCTGAGCACTGAGGCAGGGAGGGGGCACGGTGCCCCTTAAGGTCCTGCGGGCAGAAGTGTCACTGCACCTGCCAGTTAACCCCGTACTCCACCAGACCGTGAGCTGGGACTACCAGACAGCTCTTTACACAGGACACTCCCACACCGGCCACACCCCAGCTCCTGTCCTCCACCCCCAGGAAGGGTGTATTGTAAAAACTTTCCAGGATCCCTAAGGGGAAGAGCTGTCCTGCAGGCCGGGAGACGAGGCACGATGCCTGTAGGGGCTAGGCTAGCTGTGCACCAGGATTTGCGACCCTGTGGGCTGCCCTGAGCGATCACTGTCCCACCCTGTGCCCGCACCCTCACACACACACACCCTGCCCTGCAGCTTTGGCTTGGAACACGACGGTGTCCCCGGCAGCGGCTGTGCCTCCAGCGGCCACGTGATGGGGTCTGACAGCAAGGCACCCACCCGCGGAGGCCCAGCCTGGTCCGCCTGCAGCCGCCAGCAGCTGCGCAGCCTGCTCAGGTAGTGACCCAGAGGCACCCCTGCCTCCATGAGACCCCACCAACTTCCGCCATGCCCCTGCTAGGGATCCTGTCCCCCTTCCACCAGCCCTCTGCACCTCGCGCACCCCTCCATGCCCTGGACACCCCATCCCTCGGCAGACCTCCCCCCCACCGCTGGCCAGGTACCCTCCGATGGCACCGGGACTGCCCAGTGCCTGACCCCACCTGCGCCCTGCCCCAGCTTCCTCCTGGCACCTGTGCAGCGCAGCCTGACAGGGGTCGTGTGGCAGTGCAGGGCGGGCAGGCTGTGTGTGGGACCCACCAGGGTTCGTGGGGCGCCCCCCTGAGGTGCAGCCCGGCCTCTACTACGGCGCCGACCAGCAGTGCCGCGTTGCCTTTGGTCCTGCGGCTGTCGCCTGTTCCTTTACCCAGGAGCCTCTGGTGAGTGGGAGAGCTGCCTCCATGACATCACGCACAGCGTGTATACCTGCAAGCGGGGAAGACTGGCCAGGGCCAGCCTCATCTCCTCAAAGTCCCCAAAAGCTTGAGCAAAAGCACCCCTGTTGGTCTTTGAGGCAGGATCCCACTGATCTTGCCTGGCTGCAAACACCAGCCCCACCACCACCACCACCTCAGCAGGGAGTGGGGGTGGGGCAGAGTGGCCTCTCCCAAGGACCCCAGGGCTGTTGCCCCGTGGGCCTCTTTGTAAGAACTTGGATTGCGGTCTAAGATGGGCAGACCCTTTGCCCCTGACCGGTTGCCCATGCCCCTGCCAGGACGTGTGTGAGGCCCTTTCCTGCCACACGGAGCCAGGGGACCAGAGCAGCTGCAGCCGCCTCCTCACCCCTCTTCTGGACGGCACACCCTGTGGTGTGGAGAAGGTCGGTGGAGGTGGGAGGGACAGTGTGTGTGGGTGGGAGGGGCTGGAGGCGGGTGTGCTCGCTGGTCTTGGGCTTGCCTCCCCTCCCTGCTCCCAGGCCCAGCAGGGCATGCGTGCACAGGCCACAGGGGAGTGCTGGTGTGTGTGTGTGTGGGGGGCCCGAGGTGGGGTGATGCATGGGGCGGAAGCTGGAGTCGGCCTTGCCGCGCAGTGGTGCTCCAAGGGCCGGTGCCGCTCCCTGGCCGAGCTGCCCTCCGTGGCGGCAGTGCACGGCCACTGGTCCAGCTGGGGGCCGCCCAGTCCCTGCTCCCGCTCCTGTGGAGGAGGCGTCATCACCAGGAGACGGCGGTGTGACAACCCCAGGTACTGTGCCACTCAGGGACAGGGGCTGCCTCACGTGCTGGGGCGGGCAGTGGGCCCCCCTCACTCCTGGCGTCTTACTGCATTTTCAGACCTGCCTTTGGGGGCCGCGCGTGCGTCGGGCCTGAGCTGCAGGCCGAGCTGTGTAACTCCCAGGTGGGTGTGACCCTGCAGCTGTGGGAGGTGCAGGGGTGGAGGGTGCGGGGGGGGGGGGGGGTGGCCCAGGACAGGCCACAGGGCCTCAGGTGTGCTGGGCCCAGGGTGGCCAGAGCCGGGAGCCACTTCTCAGAGGGATACTGTGGCCACAGCACCCTCTCCTGAACACGCCTGTGCCACGAGCCTGCCCCTCAACAGTGTGATCCGTGCCGCCCCAGCCATGCTGCCCCCAGCCATGCTGCCCCTAGCCTCGCCCATTCTCTCCTCCTATGGCCCTAGCAGCCTCTGGCAGCTTTACCATTTCCAGTCGTCCATGTAGGGGTAGGCTCAACCTGCATGCTCCGTGGAGTCAGCCGTGGTAGATGCCTCCGGCCACTCCTTGCCTCTGGGGAAGGCTGCCTGGCCAGGGCAGCTGAGGTGGTGGGGGGGCAGTCTGCTACAGCCCTGCCTGGTTTATCTGATGACCTGGCCAGCCACTCGGTGAACACACATATCCGGCTCGGTCTTGTCAGGCCCCGCAGGCCGCCTCTGCCCGTGCTCTCCTCCCACGGCCCCGTGACCTTCACAGGTTCCCCTCGACTGCATGTCCGAGTCACGCCTGCTGGTTTCTGCCTCCTCCCCAGGCCTGCGAGAGGACCCAGCTGGAGTTCATGGCCCAGCAGTGCGCACAGACCAATGGACAGCCCCTGCACCTCTCCCCAGGCAGCGTTTCCTTCTACCGCTGGGAGGCCGCCCCACAGTACAGCCGAGGTGGGCTGCGTGCTGCAGGCCTGGTGGAGCTGCTCCCTGCCTCCCTGTCCACTGCTGGGTCAGGTGCCGCCCACCCCGGGTCTGTCCCAGCTGAGTCCGTGGAGCGGAGATGATGGTGGGGTTTCCTGCGTGGGTGGATAATGCTGGGGGTGCCCCACTTCTCAGCCTGGGTGTGACCCCAGAGAGGCATGCCCCAGCCATGTCCTGGCCTGGGGGAGGGAGCCTTAGCCCCCTGCCCTCCTAGGGGACACGCTGTGCAGACATGTGTGCCGGGCAGTTGGCGAAAACTTCCTGGTGAGGCGTGGAGACCACTTCCTGGATGGGACCCGCTGCGTGCCACAGGACCCTCGGGAGGATGGGGCCCTGGGCGTGTGCGTGCTGGGCAGCTGCAGGGTAGGTGTGAGTGAGTGAGTGCCCTGCTGCCCTCATGGCCTGTCTGGGCCCTGCAGCCAGTATGTGGTCTCCAGGGCAATAAGCAGCTGTGGGGAGACAGAGCCGGGCTGAGCCCCGGACCAGAGGGGCAAGGCCTCCAAGCTCCTTTCCAGTGCTGGGGCAGTGTTGCCTGGAGGCCGCCTGCCACGCCAGCCTCAGGCCATGTCCTCCCGCCCTTTGCACAGATGTTTGGCTGTGACGGTCAGATGGACTCCCTGCAGGTGTGGGATGCCTGCCAGGTGTGCGGCGGGGACACCAGCACCTGCAGCCGGCGGAACGGCTCCTTCTCGGCTGGAAGAGCCAGAGGTGAGAGCCTCCCATTGCCCAGGGCTGGGCCCCATCCGCCTCCAGTCCTGGCGTGGACAGAGAGCAGGCTGTGCAGGCCAGCATGACTGAGAGTGGCAAGAGATAGAGGCCACGCTCAAGGGACGGACAGAGCTGCTGTCTGTGGCACACTCCCCACATGACCAGAGTGCAGCTGAGGTCTCCCACGTGGCTGCCACCTGGAGTGCGTGGGGAGGAAGCCAGGCCTGGAGGCCGGAGCCAAAACTTGGACCCACGCAGCCCATGTGACATAGAGGACTCTGCCAGGGTGTTGGCTCCTGCAACCCCCACGTGGCCTACACAGTCCCCTCTGGTCTCTCCCTAGAGTACGTCACCTTCCTGACGATCACCCCCAACCTGACCGGGGTGTACGTGGCCAACCGCAGGCCCCTCTTCACACACCTGGGTGAGCTCCTGGAAGAGGCGCTGTTCTGACACGTGCCGCTGTTAGTGCTAGCTGTGAGCCCCCTGACTGGATGGGCAGGCCTCTGGGAAGATTCCCAGAGCTGCTCGCGGTGAGGGGAAGGCGTGGGGGCGAGTGGTTCAGAACCGAGGCACGGGAGGGGTCTAGGCAGAAGCCTACCTCTCCAAGGTGTGACCTTGCATTGCGCCGGGGAGCTCCCCTGGGATGCGTAGATCCGGGGGCCTCACTGCTGGGCACAAGCGATGGTGGAGTGATAGTTTTTGTGGTCCAAGAGACCCAGTGCCCCGTCCCCAGTCACCAGTTGGTGTCACCTTGTGACTGACAGGTGATGTGCACAGACACTCCTGGGAGGTGTGACCTTCCTGCCCTGCCCTGCTCCCTGGGGGACGCGCGAGCCAGGCACACACCCTGGTGGCGGTGTCTGTCGATGGGCATCCCTTCCTGGCCCTCTGCCCCCAGGATCCCCAGGGCTGGGGCTGTGAGTGGGTGGCGTCCCTTCCCGCTGGGCGCTCTGGGCATGACCTGGCATGGTGTCAGTACGTCTCCATCTCGTCTCATTGTCCCGCAGCGGTGAGGGTGCATGGGCGCTACGTGGTGGCCGGAAATGCCACCATCTCCTCCAACACCAGCCACCCCTCCCCACTGGAGGACAGCCGCCTGGAGTACAGGGTGACACTCACCGAGGACCAGCTGCCCCTCCTGGAGGAGGTCCACCTCCGGGGACCTGCCTGGGAGGACATGGAGATCCAGGTGGCCGGAGGGCCCGGGCTCCGTCCTCCATTCACTCTGTCACTCATTCATTCAGCGGCCATCTAGCTCTGGGCACGGACCGGGTGCCCTGCGGGTCAAGTCCTATATGAGGGTGGAGGGCCTGTGCTGTGTCCAGTGTGACCTCCACCTGTCCAGGGGGGCTGAAGAGGGTCCCCGCCCACCACAAGCAGCCCAGCTCCCAGAGGCGCCAGGGCTGAGAGCTGGCATGGGGCGGGTGGAGGAAGCCCAGATGGGTGGGAGCTTCCCTGGCTTGACTGCGACAGGGGCACAGGGACCCCACACGGTTTCGCTTGGCCGTGTCCTTGACATCATGAGCTTCCGAGTGCCCGGTTGGAAGGCGGAGACAGAAGCCCTGTGGGGCTGCAGGGGCAGGGCTGGGCGGAGTGCCAGTGGAGCAGAGATGAAGTGCAGGTTCTGAAGGCCTCCTGGAGGAGGGGTCCCTCTGGAAGGGCCCTGAGCGCCCTGGGACCCTTGGTACAGGTTTACCGGCGGTACGGTGACGAGTATGGCCCCCTTGCCCACCCTGACATCGCCTTTACCTACTTCGAGCCGAAGCAACGGCCGGCCTGGGCATGGGCCGCCATGCGTGGGCCTTGCTCTGTGAGCTGTGGGGCAGGTGAGGCTGGGCAAGGGGACGCCCCCAGGACCGCTTGGCTCCTGGCAGGGTGGCCCAGCCCCTGTCTCCTTCCCAGGGCTGCGCTGGGTGACCTACAACTGCCTGGACCAGGCCCTGAATGAGTGGGTGGACGCTGCTTTGTGCGAGGGGAGCCCGAGGCCGCCCGTGTGGTCGGAGCCCTGTGTCCCTATGCCGTGCCCACCTCGGTGAGTGCCCAGCTTTCTCTCCTGGGCTTTGGGCCAGCCTGGGAGCTCTGTGCCCCTCAGTCCCGATGACAGTATGGAGGGGGTGTCAGCTGATGAGGACTCCGGGCAGATGTGGTGACGTGTCCCTCCTGCCAGCTTGGGCTGATGAACCCCTGGGGAAGGCAGTGGGGGCTACACTGCATCCTCTGTTCCCTGAGGGCCACACTGCCGGGGCAGGGCTACTCTGCAGGGCACAGGGCAGCCGCCTGTTGTCCAGCACTGTGGTCCAGGGGACGTCAGGATAGTCCCTCACCCACCCTCTGGGAAGGGCCATTCGTGAACCTCAGGACACAGGTGTGGCCCTGGGCAGGAGCAGCACTTGCCACACCCACGCCCCACAGCCCCTGAGTCAGCCTCGGGGCGTGACACCCTGCCATCACCTTAGCTGGGCAGCAGGAGACTTGGGCCCGTGCAGCGCCTCCTGTGGCGAGGGCCTGCGGGAGCGGCCTGTACGCTGTGTGGAGGAGGCCCCGGGGGGCCGCCTACGGACACTGCCCCCTGCCCGGTGCAGAGCTGCGGCCCCACTGCCGGCCATGGTGGAACCCTGCAGTACCCTGCCGTGCCCCACCAGGTGAGCTCAGGCACAGGCCGTGGACCAGTGATGGGCGAGATAGGGCAGCCGGACGGGCCATCCACAGGCCTGAGTGAGTCAGCAAACAGAATCACTTCCTGTTCAAGGGCCCCAGCCTGGCCCCTCTGAGCTTGTCAGTGTCTGGGAAATGCGGGGGGCTGCTCCCCAAGGGCTGTGGGATAGGGTGGACCTGTGCAGGTGGAACCCTGTCATTATCACAGTGCCAACGTGGCCACTGCCCTGGCCAGAGTACCTACCTGGCTTCTCCCTGCCATTGGCTGCCTGAGGGTAAACCCTGGCAGCTGTGGGCTCCTGTTCTGTGGCTTGCCCAGTGAGAAGAGGGTAGCCTTGTTCATGGGCTGTCCGCTGGGCCCTGGGCCACCTGCCCCTCTCCATCAGCAATAGCTATGTTAGACGCTCACCATTGGTTCCCTCGGAGGCCTGATGTGGCCTCAGCACCCTTCTTAACACACTGGCTGGCTGTTGGTGCTCATGGTCGGCACCCAGCTGGCACCCTCCTGCCATCTGCAAACCGGATGGGATCCACTGGCCCCGCCCCCATCTCAGTCCCAGCTCCCCCGCCCCATCACACATTCACTGCTAGATGGGCGACTCGGGGCGAGGCCCTGAGCTCTGTTCCTGGATGATGGGGAGCAACTTCATGGCCCCTGCCCCCCAGAGCTGGGCTGACCTTCAGCTGGGAGGCTGGGCAGGGCCTGACGACTGTCCATGCCGTCCTCAGCAAGGCCTCACACAACGTGACATGTGTGCAGGCCGCATCCAGCGGGGAGGTGCCAGTGACCACCAGGCCCTGCCACGGCAATGAGAAGCTGCCCAGCCCTGAGCCCGGTGTCGGGGCAGCGTGTCCTCCAGGCTGGGGGCTGGTGAGTGCTCTGGCGCCAGGGGGTGGGCTCCTGGGGTTTTGGACTGGAGAACCAGAAGGGTGTTTCAGTACCTGCTGCCCTGGCTGGGGTGAGGGTGGGCGGCTGGAAAAGGGGCTCCAGCCAGGAGCCGTGGGAGGCACATGGTCTCCGCAGTTCTCTGCTGTCTCCTGAAGACAGCCGTGAGGGGCTGTGGGCAGGGGGCTGCAGGTAGACCCTTCCCCTCCCTGGCATCCCCCTGTTGCTCTGCCCTACAGCTGCACGCTGAGTCTCCAAGGAATGGGGCCCCACCCTCACTGGGCACTGCCAGCCCCGGGGCTCGAGTTGCGCCCATGTGGACTCCAGTGGCCGGGCCCTGCTCCGTGTCCTGTGGGCGAGGTGAGGGGGCTGGGGGGTGTGCCCAAGGTCAGCTCTCTGTGTCCCCTGATCTCCACCCCACTGCAGGGTGGCTCTAGCTGAGGCCCTGACTGCATGCCAGGACCCTGGGGCCGGGAGCTCATGGCCACTTTGAGTGCCCACTGACCAATCGGCAGACAGAAAGGAGTGGCGATAGCCATGTTGGTGCCCAAGAGGGCACTGGTCGCTGTGAGTTCCCGGAGCCCCCTCACACTGGCAGGTCACTGAGTCCCCTCTCCCTAGGCAGGGCAGTGAGCCCCCAGAGCCCGCCCCGGGCAGGGCAGTGAGCCCCCAGAGCCCGCCCCGGGCAGGGCAGTGAGTCCCCGAAGCCCACCCCGGGCAGGGCAGTGAGCCCCCAGAGCCCGCCCCGGGCAGGGCAGTGAGCCCCCAGAGCCCGCCCCGGGCAGGGCAGTGAGTCCCCGAAGCCCACCCCGGGCAGGGCAGTCAGCCCCCAGAGCCCGCCCCGGGCAGGGCAGTGAACACCCCTCTCCCTAGGCAGGGCAGTGAGCCCCAGGAACCCACCCAGGGCAGGGCGGTGAGCCCTCAGAGGCCGCCCCAGGCAGGGCAGTGAACACCCCACTCTCCAGGCAGGTTTGCGCTCACGTTCTCTGATTGCGGACATTTATAAGAAACAGCTGAGCTAAGTTCTAGGCGTGTTTGCGAAGCCTGGGGTCGCTCAGCGGTCTCCCCGACGGCCGGCTCAGGCATGCTTCAGGCTGATCCCCTTTGGCACAGCAAGCCCCTCTTGTTGCCAGGAAGGGGTAGGAGGGACGCAGCCTTGATACTTTCATCGTGAGCAGTGTTATCAACCTTCACTTTCCATCTGCTGGTTCATTTCCTAAATGGCCACGACATCCAGAAGCCAGGAGCTTCTTCGGGTCTCATGTGTGCTGCTCTGCCGTGTCGGGTGCTCTAGCAGGGAGCTGGATCGTCAGTGGAGAAGTTAGAGCGCCAGCTGGTGCCCGCAGTGGGTACCGGTGTTAGTTCGTTGTATCACAGCATTGGTCCCAATATGGCAGTTCTTTAGGATTTGTTATTTGTTTATTTGAGAGGCACGCGTGCGCGTGTGCACACACACACACACACACACACACACACACACACACACACACACACACAGCTCCCACTCCCCAGATGCTGTGACAATCAGGGCTGGGCCAGGCCTGTCCCCGACCCCTCAGTGTTCAGGGCATGCTGGGGGTCTTGGCTTGCTCCCCACAGGCCTTCGGGAGCTGCATTTCCTGTGCGTGGACGCTGTCCTCGGGACTCGGGTTCAGGAGGAGCTGTGTGACTCAGCACACAAGCCCCAGGGTCGGCGGGAGGTGTGCCAGGTGGCCCTCTGCCCTGCTCGGTGAGGCAGGAGGGAGGCTGTACCTGGGAGGGGGCCCACCTGCCCACCTGGGGCGTGGCCTCATGCAGAGCATGGTCCTTCCTCCTGCAGGTGGGACACCCGGGCCCTGGCGCCCTGCCCGGTGACCTGTGGAGGAGGCCGGGTGCCGCGGGCGGTGCGCTGTGTGAGGCCTGATGGCAGCCGCCTGGTGCCCCTGCCTCACTCCAAGTGCTGGCCAGCACCCCAGCCCGATCCCTTCGAGGACTGCAGTTCAGAGCCCTGCCCTGCCAGGTGGGCCCTGCCCAGGGGCCACAGGGATTAGCTCTGCCCTCCCCCACTGGCCCAGTGTCCCCCACCCCCACCTGCCACACCCTCACCTACAGGAACCCCTTGGGTCAGGCCAGGCCCTTCCTTGCCTGGGGCAAGGAGACCTGGTTTACTCATCAGGACCCCGCTGGCAGGGCGAGGAGAGGGGGTCCCTGACTACAGTCACCGTGCAGGTGGCGATACCAGCTGGCGGCATGCAGTGTGAGCTGTGGCGGAGGGCTGGTGCGAAGGATGCTGTACTGTGCCCGCGATGGCAAGGATGGCAGCGAGGAGATCCTGCCAGACCTCCAGTGCCAGGGACTGCCTCGCCCAGAGCCCCATGAGGCCTGCGGCCTGGAGCCCTGCCCACCCAGGTAAGTGGGCCGAAAGGGACGGTGGGTGCCAGGTCCAGTGCTGGCAGGAGGGGGCATGGAGGCAGCCATGGCGGGCAGGGCAGGCCAGGCTGGGCAGGTGAGCTGGACGCTGTCCAGGGGGATGGAAGGAACATTGGCATGGAGCCTGAGGGGGAGGGAAGACGCAGAGCCATTGTGGACACGGGGGGGGGCGAGGCCTGTGGGAGCTGGGGGGCCATGTTGTCGGAGGACGCAGCCGAGGGAGAGCAGGGCCCAGGGAGCTACCTTGGCTGGTTTTGTGCTGGGTTTGGAATGAGTAGGCTCCGTGTCTGGCAACATGCAAGGCAGAGAGAGGTCACCATGATGCATGCAAATGGGAGGTCCCAGCAGGAAGCTGTGGGGGAGGCCTGGGTGTCCACCTCTGGTGTGAGTGTGCTCGGCTCCTTAGGACCGGCTAGGGGGCGTGGCTGTCCGCCTTGCCCTGCCTCCTGCCTGGAGGAGATCACATCACGGGTAAGACCTAATGTCAGTGTGTTTTTATTTGAAAGGCAGAATCAGAAAAGGAGAGACAGGGAGAGGCTGCCCATCGCTGGTTCCCTCCCCGGAGCTGAGCCAGCCTGAAGCCAGGAGCTCTCCCAGGTCTCCCAAGCACTCGGGCTGTCCTCCACTGCTCTCCCAGGTACATTTGCAGAGAGCTGGATCAGAAATGGAGCTGCAGGGACTCGGGCCTGGCACCCATGTAGGATGCCAGCGATGCAGTGAGAGACTTAGTCTGAAAAGCTATGGCAGGGCCCGGCGCGGTGGCCTAGCAGCTAAGGTCCTCACCTTGAATGTGCCCGGATCCCATATGGGCACTGGTTCTAATCCCGGCAGCTCCACTTCCCATCCAGTTCCCTGCTTGTGGCCTAGGAAAGCAGTCAAGGATAGCTAATAAACCTTGAGACCTTGCAACTACGTGGGAGACCCGGAAGAGGATCTGGGCTCCTGGCCTTGGATCGGCACAGCACCGGCCATTGTGGTCACTTGGGGTGTGAATCATCAGATGGAGGATCTTTCTCCCTGACTCTCCTCCTCTCTGTATATGTCTGCCTTTGCAATAAAAATAAGTAAATCTTTAATTAAAAGAAAAAAGAAAAGCTATGGCACCAACCCCTGAATGTATTTATTTGTTAAACCTTACTGATTTGCAAGGCCGAAAGAGGCATCTTTTATCTGCTGGCTCCCACGTCACTCCCAGCACAAGGGTCTCTGGCTTCCGCTGGTGTCCTGGGCCATGCGTGCGGGTGACCTGGGATTGCCATGGGAATTGCAAGCACACAGGAGTTCTGCCTGCCTCTTGGACATTGCTGTGGCTACTCGGGCCAGCTTGCTCTGGAACCTTCCAGGGATACTGTGGATCTGGGGCTTTTGCTCTCTGCCCCCACCCCTGCTGCCTGATGGCCTGTCCAGCTTCTGCAGGGCTCTGCTCGAACCTGCACCCAGCTCACCCCTGCTGCCTGATGGCCTGTCCAGCTTCTGCAGGGCTCTGCTCGAACCTGCACCCAGCTCACCCCTGCTGCCTCAGGCCTACCTCAGCTCTCCAGCCCCACCTGCTCTGTCCATTCCTGTCCCTTCCTGCCAGGTTTCTCAGCCTCCAGGGGCAGCTCTGCCTCCAGGGATGCCAGCCACTTCTGGGGAGATTCTTATTGCCATGGGCCTTGGGCGGAGGCCGGTGGGGTACAGCACCCGGGATGGCCTCCCTCCTGAACGTGGACAGTGCCAAGAAGAGAAAACATCTCTGCCCAGAGTGGTGGAGTGTGGCAGGTTCGCTGCCACCTCCCTGCATCTGGCAGGACTGAAGGGCTGAGGGATGCGGGCACAAACCCCGGGCCCAGAGCTCTCTGGGCTCACAAACCCCGGGCCTGGGGCCCTCTGCGCTCACAAACCCCGGGCCCGGGGCCCTCTGCGCTCACGTCTGGCTCTGGAAGATGCTGTCATCATCCCTTGCCCTTGGCAGGCCGGGCGGCTCCCTGCAGTACTAGGGTGCTAAGCCCTTCCCCAGTGTCTCCCTTGGCCAGCACACAGCTATGTGGGCTTAATGGAGAGTGTGCAACAGAGCAGGGGGACTGCCAGGGGCCTTGCAGACCCCCTTCTGTGCCAGGGCATCCTGAGAGCAGATGGTGGCCCCTGGTGCCCTTCTCACCTGGCCTGACACCTGCCCGGGAGGAAGAGGTGGCACTGAGTGGACACACCCCCTGGGGACAGTCCTGTGTTGGGGGCTGTCCTAGCCTCTCTGTCAGCCTTCTCCTTTCTTCAGGTGGAAAGTCGTGTCCCTCGGCCCATGCTCAGCCAGCTGTGGCCTTGGCACTGCCACTCGCTCAGTGGCCTGTGTGCAGCTTGACCACGGCCAGGACACTGAGGTGGACGAAGCCGCCTGTGTTGCTCTGGCACGGCCGCAGGCCAGGGTTCCCTGCCTCAAGGCCGACTGTGCCTTCCGGTGGCAGGTCGGCTCCTGGACAGAGGCAAGTGCCGTGACCTCCCCACTCCCTGACCTCCACTGGGGCTGGGGAGGGGGTCTCCCAAAAGGAGAGGGCAGGGGCAGCAAGGCCCAGAGCCCGGGAAGGAGCTGATGCCATCCTGTGCTGGGCCTGGTCCTTGTCACCCGTCGGGGACATGTTCCCATCGCCTGCAGCTGCCCCCTCCTCTCCCAGCAGTGCCCTGTCTCCTGTGGGGCCGGCGTCCAGCACCGCAGCGACACCTGCCTCGGTCCCCAGGCCAACACCCCAGTGCCGGCTGACTTGTGCCAACACCTGCCCAAGCCAGTGACTGTGCGTGGCTGCTGGGCCGGGCCCTGTGCAGGCCTGGGGCCACCCAGCCCTGCCCATCACACGGATGCCACCACTTCCAGCCGGGCTGCAGCTGCTGGGGTTGGCGGCTCCCTGGAGTGGCCGCAGCCCCGGACCAGCCTCCTGCCCCCAGCTCTCCCAGCCTCCCAGCAGCTTCAGGGGCTCCTAAGGGAGTCCAGTTAGGTGCCTCCCTGCTTTCTGTAAGGGTGCTGGCTGCGCAGTGGGGTGGGGTCCACGGGACACGTGCACTGGGGCTAAAGGGGTGTACTCAGAGATCCAGGCACACGACGCCTCAGAGCCCCATAACTGGAGGGTCACACACGAGGGAGAGGAAGCTGGCTTAGGCACCCAGAAGCAGCCCTGACCCTGGGATGGTGGCACCACCCCGCGTGGCTCACCAGTATACTCCCTGTGGGCCAGGTACCTGCGGGAGACAGCTCCTAGAACCGGCAGGAACTCTGGACCTGCGAGGCGCAGTGCCAGGGGACTGTGCCGTGGCCATTGGGCGACCCCTGGGGCAGGTGGTGACCCTCCACGTGCTGGAGAGCTCCCTCAACTGCAGCGCGGGTATGTCCACAGCCACACTGGTGGTCCCAACTGTGTCCCCTCTCTCCGTTCTGTCTTGGGCTGGAGTGTGAGAGAGGGGGACACTAAAGCAGGCATTGCCATGGCATCAGCAGCCAGCGTGGGAGAGGGCTGAGAGCTGGACTCAGCTCCACGGCCATCAAAGGCCAGCGTGGGAGAGGGCTGAGGGCTGGACTCAGCTCCACGGCCATCAAAGGCCAGCGTGGGAGAGGGCTGAGGGCTGGACTCGGCTCCATGGCCGTCAGCAGCCAGCGTGGGAGAGGGCTGAGAGCTGGACTCAGCTCCACGGCCATCAAAGGCCAGCGTGGGAGAGGGCTGAGGGCTGGACTCGGCTCCATGGCCATCAAAGGCCAGCGTGGGAGAGGGCTGAGGGCTGGACTCAGCTCCACGGCCATCAAAGGCCAGCGTGGGAGAGGGCTGAGGGCTGGACTCGGCTCCATGGCCGTCAGCAGCCAGCGTGGGAGAGGGCTGAGAGCTGGACTCAGCTCCACGGCCATCAAAGGCCAGCGTGGGAGAGGGCTGAGGGCTGGACTCAGCTCCATGGCCATCAAAGGCCAGCGTGGGAGAGGGCTGAGGGCTGGACTCGGCTCCATGGCCGTCAGCAGCCAGCGTGGGAGAGGGCTGAGAGCTGGACTCAGCTCCACGGCCATCAAAGGCCAGCGTGGGAGAGGGCTAAGGGCTGGACTCAGCTCCATGGCCGTCAGCGGCCAGCGTGGGAGAGGGCTGAGGGCTGGAGCCACTGCCCTTACTGCCCGCAGAGTCAGGGTGCTGGCCCCTCACACCTGCTCCCTCCTAGGAGACTTTCTGGTGATCTGGGGCCGGCTCACATGGAAGAAGGTGTGTAGGCAGCTGCCAGGCACGACTTTTGTCTCTAAGAGCAACACATTGGTCGTGTGGCAGCGGTGCGTGGGGCTGGGAGGCGGAGTGGTGCTGCGGTATGGAAGCCGACCTGCCCCGGAAGCCTACCAAGGTATGCTCAGCCAGCCAGCGCCAGGGCAGCCCACCTCACAGCAGGGTAGTGTCTGAGCAGGGGCTGCGGAGCTGGGGCCAGTCCCGGGGGTGGGGGGGGAGATGGGCAGAACGGGGCATCCAGCAGCCATCTGGGTCTATGTGTATGACGGGAGGAGGCCCCACACTGTGTGCCCCGAGGGCTGAGGTCGGGAGGTGATGGGGTCCAGCGGGGGCTTCCTCCTGTGTGCTCCGAGGGCTGAGGTCGGGAGGTGATGGGGTCCAGCGGGGGCTTCCTCCTGTGTGCCATCCTGTCCACTTACTACTCCCCTGCTGTGAGCTGCTGTGGCCTGTGGTGTCAGGGCTGTGTCTGGGCCCCCATGTCCCTGAGAGGACACACAGCCAGGCCACCCACCTGCTCACCCTTGCAGAATGTGACATTCAGCTCTTTGGCCCCCGGGGGGACATCGTGAGCCCCTCGCTGGGCCCGGATGGAAGGACGACAGGAGGCTGCCGGCTGTTCATCAGTGTGGCTCCACATGCCCGGATAGTCATCCATGCCCTGGCCACTGGCCTGGCCCCTGACCACCAAGGGGCCAACACCAGCTATGTCACGGTGAGGCCACCGAGGTGGGCACAGCGGTGGGCCGGCTTTGGGTCCAATCTGTCCCCAGGGATGGGACTAGGGGTACTGGGCAGAGGAACCCCTTTAGTTGGCTTCGAGCAGAACCCTTAAAGCAGTAGTGGAGCAATGGGGAGAAGAGTGTGTCCCTCGGCAGAGCCTGTTTCTGGAACTCTGCAAGAGTGAAAAGGACTTTCCTTTGCGCAGTTTACTATTTATTTCATCATCTTTGACAGGCAGAGAGCTGAGACTCTCATGTACTCAGTCCATCCCAAAGGCCCACAGCTGTGCAGGCTAGGCCAGGAGCCTGCAAGTCCAGGGTGGGAGCGGGGACTCAAGGCCTTGAGCCGTCCCTTCCCGGGTACAGCAGCAGGAAGCTGGAGGCCCCCTTACGCTGGCACGCGCTGGGGGAGGTGGCACGGCTGGTCTGGGCCTCAGATTCCTGGTCGAACGACAGCGTTCCCGGCCCAGGGCCCTTGTGGGATTGGTGAGTGTGGCTCATGCCTTCTGGGCTGCCCCCTTTCCCTCAGATCCGGGACACCCACAGTTTGAGTAGCAGAACTTTCCACGGCCAGCAGGTGCTCTCCTGGGTGTCCCAGAGCAGCCAGGCAGAGCTGGAGTTCAGCCAGAGGTTCCTGGAGGCGGGGGCCAGCCTGCGAGGCCAGTACTGGACCCTGTGAGCAACAGTGGGACCAAAGAGGGGCAGCACAGCTGCCCTCCCCCTGCTGACCCCAGACCTGGGCTGCTGTGGGCAGCTCCGGACCAATAAACAGCATTGAATACGAGGGTTTGAATGCTGCTTGCTTCATACGACCTGTCCAGACAGGCCTGGGATGCCCATCCCTCACCAGGTGGGACTGGCTGCACCCTGACCTGAGCGAGGCCTTCTACCCAGGAGGACAGGAAGGTGGACACCGGCTGGCCCCGAGGCTGGCGCACCTCTGCCCTGTGCTGGCCGGGCCCAGGCTCCGACCTGGCAGGTCTCTACGTCACGGAGCTGCGTGGCCCTGCAAGCACCGCCCCTTATGCTAATCAGAGCCACGTCCTCGTCGCGCACCTGCCAAGCCCCGCCCTCTATGCTAATCGGCGCCGAGCCCTCGGGCGCACCTGCGGCCTGCGAGCCCCGCCCCTATGCTAATGAGCCGGCTGTCCCACAAGGCAGCGCGCCAGCCCCGGCGGCCGGGCTGCGAGCCCTTTGTGAGTGAGGGTCGCGGGCTGCTGGGGGCAGCGATGAACGGTTCCGGAGGGGCGGCCGCGGGCGCGGCGCCGGCCGCTCAGGAGGAGGGCGTGACGTGGTGGTACCGCTGGCTGTGTCGCCTGTCCGGGGTGCTGGGGGCCGTGTGTGAGTAGCCCCCCGCGAGGGCTCAGGGGGTCTGCAGAGCGCCTGCCTGGGGAGGGGTGGGGGCCCTGGGGAGCCGGCGCCCTGGGGTGGCCGTGGTGACCAGGTTTGGGCCTGCGGCGGGCCAGGTCCCTTCCCCGGACATGTCTGCTGCCCCGGGCCTGTCCGAGCTTTTCCTGCAGCGCTGCTGGGGTCAGCGTCACCGGGATGCAAGGCTGGGAGGTGTGTGCGTGCAGAGAACAGGCGCTGGAAGTGGGGCGGGGCAGTGTGCTGAAAGCTGGGACAGCCGGCCACCCACCCTCACCGTCCAGCTGCCTCTGCTTGGCCCCTGTCTGCCTTCACAACACTCCTGGATGCCACTAGGCCTGGGGGTCCAGGAGAGTGGGCAGGTGGGCAGCAGGCAGTGGGTGGCCCTCATAGCACCAGCCCAGAACAGGCACAAAGCAGGCAGCAGGTGCGCTGGGGAAATGAGCATGGTGGAGCTGACCTCTGTCTCCTGCCTTTCCGTCCCCCACTTTGACCAGGTCTGGTCGGGGATGCCCATAGGACTGCATCAGGGGGAGCCTGGCACACAGGGAGGGGCCTACGGGCCTGGGCAGGGCAGGCCCTGTCGGCTTTCCTCACGTGCCCACACCCACTGTGGCTCGTGGTCTCTCCAGTTGAGTCAGGGGTGGACATTCAGGCAGGGGATGCCTAGGGATGTTGCCCTGGCTGACATGCTGTCCCCCATCACCACCTCTATCATACGAGGTCCCCATCTCTGCTGTTCGGGGCAAGTGCACTTCAGGCTTTGAGGGAGACGCCCGTGGGTTCGCAGCCAGCCCCGTGGGTCCCCTCGGTGGGCGGTGCTGAGGGAATGACAGAAGTCACTGGGGAGCAGGACGCCCAGGGGGCCGAGGGACTGTGCATCCACCCCATAACGGGCTGGCGTTGGAGGACGGTGAGCTCGGGTAGGCGCTGACCGCAGCAGGAAGAGCTGGCCCCAGGCAGCCGAGACCCGGCTCACCTGGCGAGCAGGCAGGAGCCATGACCGTCTTTGGGCGCCCTGGGAACCTTGCTGCCCAAGGATGCCAAGGGAAGGACATCTGGGGTCCTGTGTCTCAGGAGGCCTTGTGGGCCTGCCGCAGCTGGGGCACCTTTCCTGTGTAGGGTGACATGGGAGAATGGAAAACAGCTGGATTCCAGCTCCGAGGGAAGGGATCCGGTGTGGAGCGGCTTCTGCAACTTTAATGAGCTGGTGGCTGGTGGAAAAGGCCGTGTCCACTGCCCCGCCCCGGCCTGGGCTCTCCGTAACAGCCTGATGCCTGTGGGTGGAGGAGGGGGCAAGACAGAGCTGGGTACGGGGGTGAAGTATGAGGCTCTGCATTGGAACCTCGGAGAAGACCACTTCTGGCATAGGAGGGGATGGAGCTTAGTGTCTTGGTGGTGGCTGGGCTGAGCTGGAGGGCTTGGGCAGGTCATGTAGAGGACATAGGATGGGTCCAGAAAGACAGTGTGTGCCCAAGGGCCTCGGCTGCTGTGCCCACCAGAGCTGCAACAGTCATTCAGCGCAGCCCGGATCTGAGAGAGGAACCACTCACCCTAAGGGTTAGAGGATTCCCTGCGAGCACCCAGAAGCCCAGCTCTGCACCCTGCGAGCACCCAGAAGCTCAGCTCCCCTGCCCCGGGCCAGAGCAGAGAGAAGGGGGGCTTCACCTGCTTGGCCTCCCCAAGCAGCAGCCACAGCCTGGCCATCATCCTGCCGGGGACAAACCATGTGGCCGGCTGCCTGAGCTTGTCCTGGCCCGTGTCAGTGTGGGCCTCTGGGCACAGTGGGGAAGCGTGGGGGTCTGGTGCAGGCCACTGGGCAGCAATGACCTGGCCCGTGTTGGTGCCATGGGGGGACTGCGCTGAGCTTGCCCAGGTCTCCCTGGCCAGCCCCAGGCTCTGGGCCAAGGCCTGCCTGTCTCTTGCCTTCCAGCTTGTGCCATCTCCGGCCTGTTTAACTGCATCACCATCCATCCTCTCAACATCGCGGCTGGCGTGTGGATGATGTAAGCCCCTGGGCCCGCCCTGGGTGCCATGCTAGGCCCCTCCCTCACCCTGTGGCCCCTGGGCAACCCCTCCCAGGAGGGCTCCCAACCACTGAGATGTCTCGTAGGCCACAAACCCTTCGTCCAGTGGGCTAACACCATGCCCACTGGGGGTGCTTGTCCTGGGGGAGCTCCCAGGACTCTGGAGGTGCTGGGGCCCCCAGGAGGAGGCCGTGGGCTTCCCTGGGCTCACTGTGGTCCCAGCTGTGGGTGGGAGAAGGGGTGGCAGCACTGGACTTGCAGGCGGGGGCAAGCACAGGACCTGGCGCATCATGGGGGCCCAGTCAGTAGCCATCATGCTGCCCATCGGGGCGAGCTGGAGACTTCCCCTTAACATGGCACTGACCCAAGGGTTTCTTGGGGGGCTCACCTGTGGGGCATACGGGTGGTCAGCCTTAGGTGCCAGGGGCACCCACTGGGCTGGCTCTCCATCCCCGAGTGGGGGCAGCCTGCCTGGTGGTCATGGCGGTGGCGGCAGTCTGCAGAGCCATGTGGCGTTCCCTGTGGACGAAGCTGCTGCCGGCTGCATGGGTGTGGGGGCTTCTCCCTCCCCAAACGGGGCAGGGAAGCAAGCCGGGGCTCTTCCCTCTGGGGGTTGCTGGGGCAGCGCTAGGCTCTGGAGGAGGGAGGGCGAGAGGCCAGCATCCCCAGCAGCCCTGGTCCTGGGGTCACCAGCAGGCCCCCTTCCCTCCCTCCTGCTCCAGCATGAATGCCTTCGTCCTGCTGCTGTGCGAGGCGCCCTTCTGCTGCCAGTTCGTGGAGTTTGCGACCGCGGTGTCTGAGCGCGTGGAGCGCCTGCGCTCCTGGCAGAGAGCGGTTTTCTATTGCGGGTGAGGCGAGGCCAGGCGGCGTGAGGCAGGGCCTGGGCTTGTTGGGCAGTGGCCTGGGGAGGAGTGGGACTGGGCAGGTGCCCTGGTAACCGGCTGGTGCAGAGTTTCAAAGAGAAGGGAGAAAGAGGGAGAGGAGCGTATCTTCTAGTCACTGGCTCACTCCCCAAATGCCTGAGACAGCTAGCGCTGGACCAAGCTGAAGCCAGGAACCTGGAAGTCTACCCAGGTTTCCCACGTGGGTGTAGGAGCCCAAAGACTTGAGCCATCCTCTGCCGCTCCCCAGGCACATCAGCAAGGAGCTGGACAGGAAGTAGGGCAGCCAGGACTGCCAGGAGCTGGTGATCTGGGGCATTCATGTGTCCCAAGGAATGGTCATTATCTCATGGGCCCTTAAACGCCTGTTGATGGCCTTGGTGCTGTCCCAACAGGGGCCAGAGCCTTGCCGGCCCGTTCCTGAGCCCGTGTCCCTGCCGGCTTCTAGGGGGCTTGCCTACCACCTGGTTCTTTCAGAAAGCGATGGGGGGTGGGGGACCCAGGGAGCAGTGGAGCAGCCCCGGCTCTCCGTCTACCCCCAGGATGGCCGTCGTCCCCATCATCATGAGCCTGACACTGACCACTCTGCTGGGCAATGCCATCGCCTTCGCCACGGGCGTGCTCTACGGGCTCGCGGCCCTGGGCCGGAAGTGAGTCTCCTGTATCCCTTCAGGGGAGGGGCACAGGGCCTGCTCCCTTGCCCCCTCCCCCGCAGCCCCTTCTGTCCTACTGCTCACTACATGACTCGACTGGGACCCCAGGGTGTTGAGCAGTGAGGAGCAGACACAAGGCACCCCCTGCTTGGCCCGGTCTTGGCCCAGCGCAGCCCGTAGCAGGGTCTGCACTGGATACTGCGGTGGTTTCCACTCCTTCCTGCAGAGCCCAGTGGCCAGGCATCCTGGGCCATGCTCAGGGCACAGGGCGGGCCTTTGTCCTCCAGCAGAGCAGCCTGCCTGTGGAAACCAGGAGGCCGGGTGGCGGCGGCAGGGCTGTGCGCCTGGGGCCTGTGTGACCCAGCTCTTGGATTCCCAGGGGCGATGCCATCTCCTATGCCCGGATCCAGCAGCAGAAGCAGCAGGCGGACGAGGAGAGGCTGGCCGAGACCCTGGAGGGTGAACTGTGATGTGGCACCTGGGGACCCCTCACTTGCTAGTCTTGGAGAGCTGTCATTTGACTGCCCAAGGCTCCTGCAGGGTCTCCCCCACCCCTACTCCTGTGTGGGGCTTTAGTGAACTGAGCGAAGCCCTGGCAGTGGGCAGTAGGTGGCCATGGGCCCCAGGCTGGGGAACGGCTTCCCCTGAAATGCTGGGCCATCCCCCTGGCCCAGGCTCAGGGTGCTGGTGAGCAGGGAGGGCCCTGGCCCGCCTTGTCCGCCTGTCTCCAGAACAGCACATCCTGAGCCCATCTGCTGCTCACGCGGTCCTCAGCGGCTGTGGCCCTGGCTGCCACTTGCCCCCTCCCATGCCTGGGACCACAGCCTTGGCAGTGACAGGGCAGCAAGCTGGAGGACACTCCCTCTCCCCGGGACCCTGCACCTCAGGTCACCCTTCCAGGACCCCCCAGTTTCCAACCTGCATTGGGCCTTGGTGCTAACACTGTGGTACAACAAGCTCCTCCAGGCTTGTGAAGTTGTCCCCTTCCCCCCCAGGCTGGGATGAACCTGACCACCTCAGGCATCCCCGGCCCTTGCCCCCGGAGGCCTCCACCTTTGAGCACTCCTTGGAGAACTGTGTCCCTGCTCCAGGGATGGTCTGCAGGGGAGTGGGAGAGCCGGTGCCCCTGCCTTCGGCCCCACTGCGGTGGGGGGGCAGATGGCAGCCACCCTCCACAGGACGTGACCCAGCTGGGTGCTGGAGCAGCAGGTAGCTGCTGTGTGATAGCTTGGTAGGACATGTGCCTTCAGGGCCCGGGCGGCTCTCTTGTTTGGGCCGGCGCTGGCCTCCAAGGGCTGTGTGTGTGAGTGTGTGTGTGTGTACACGCACATGCGTGTGCAGGTGTGCAGTGAACAGGATCCGGCTACCTCCCATGTGTGTGCTACCTCCCAGAGGGGCCGGGGCCAAGCTGCCTGTCTGCTCACTTGTGCCCAGGCTAAACGCCTTAGGCGGCTCGTTCCTGGCCAGCTCAGGCGCTTGACTGCCCACTGTGTGTGTGAAGGATGGGCAGACCACGGGGTCAGACCCACACAGGAAAGGGCCCTCAGGGTACCCAGGCAGTCACTGAGTCCCGGGCCAATGTGGGCAGTCTGCCAGCCCCAGGTTCCCGCTAAGCCTGTGGCAGAGCACAGGACCCTGTCTCCCACTGGGGTGAGTGCTCACCAGTGGGCTCCACCCCACATCTGGCCCCTGGTCTGTTCTGGAGCTTGCATTTTGAGCAATAAAGCCAGACGGGCGTTTGTCCACAGCTCGGCCCCTTCCCTCGCGTCTTGGCGTTGCCTGTCCCATTGGATGGAGCCTGTTCCCCGTCCCACTTGCCAAGCTGGGGCTGGGGCAGGGGTGGGCGCTAAAAGGTGGACTCAGGGCAGGCTTCCTACATATGGGCTGCCTCCCTCTTTCCCTGAGTGGGTTGGGACTAACGCAAGGGTATGGGCGAGCCCCTGCGAGAGGAGACCCCACACCTTCATCTCTCGAGCCGCAGGCCCACGTCCTTTATTAATATAAATAAGAAGAGTGCTGTGCATGGAGGGGAGCGCCTGCACCCCAAGGCAGGGCTGAGGAGGAGGCCATGGCTGCCTGTGGGTCCCGCCCTTGGCCTCTGCAGGTTGGGACTGTCTCCGGCAGAGCCTGCAGGGCCCCGGTGGATCCAGACCCACAGCCGGGGCTCTTCATGGTGCCAGGCCATCACAACACAGCGCCAGCACCCTGCCCGCGGGCCACCCACAGCCCTCTTCTCTACAGCCTCACCACGTCCTCCGCGGGCAGTGGCCCGTTCTCAGCCTGGCGGGGCATGGTCCCTGGGGTGCTCTGCCATGGCCCACGTGCCCGCCGGGGCCAGCAGAGTGGCAGGGATGGCGGTGCCCGGCGGGTCCCCAGCCTAGTGCAGGAAGGAGCTCCGGCCCGTGTGGAAGAAGGCCTCGATCTGTTCGAGCGAACGGCCCTTGGTCTCGGGCACGCAGCAGCCCGTGAACACCAGGCTCAGCAGGCACACGGCGGCAAAGAAGAAGAAGGGCGTCTGAAGGCCAAAGGTGTTCTGCAGGTGGGGCGCACGGGGTCAGCCCAGGCCCTGGGCTCCCCGCACCTCCAGCTGGCTCCCCACCCCGCCCTGCCTGGGAGTCAGCAGGCCTCACACCCGCCCTGGCCACAGAGCTGCCCCCTGAGATTCTCCCTCAGGGGAATTTGATCGGGAGGGAGCAGGGTTCACCTGGGCTGGCGCAGGGGCAGCTGCCCAGGCGGACTGAAGCCCTGAGGACCGCAGTGTGGTCTGCACACTGATTGGAGAGGAAGGGTTGCGGGGGTCCCTGGGCCAGGGGGCCTTCACACTCACCACCAGCGGCAGGAAGGACTTGGTGAGCACGAAGGCGGTGAGCCAGCTGACCAGCACGCAGAGCCCCGAGGCCACGCCGCGGGCACGCAGGGGCAGGATCTCGGACATGAGCAGCCAGGTGATGGGCCCCCAGCCCATGGCATAGCCTGTCCCAGGAGAGCAGGCAGACGGCTCAGGCCGTGCACGGCCGGGGCCCTCACCTGCCTTCCCCCAGCCACATCAGGACGGTAACTCCTGCCCCTGAGAGGCCCCTGTGACACCTACCCATGATGAAGACCATGGTGGCCAGCAGGGGCACGAGGGTGAGGTAGCTGGGGGGCGTGGCTGGGGGCTGCTCCGTGGCCTCCAGAAACATGCCCTCAAGGCCCACCGTTCCGTTGGCACTCTGCGACCTGGGGCCAAGCTGCACATAGAGCCCCAGCGTCAGATTGGCAGCAAACATGATGGTGGCTGTGGACACATGGGCGGCCCCCAGGGGCCAGGACACATGAACCCTAGGACCCGGGGATCGAATCCCCCCAGAGCTGGGCTCTGGCCAGTTCAGCTCTGCTCCAGCCCCGGGAGTGCTGTGTCTCATTTGGCTCCTGGGCTCCTCAGCCCCACCCCACAGGTGCGACAGGGGTGAGCGGGCAGCAGGCCCAACAGACAAGGGCAGTGCTCACCAGACACGAACAGTAGCACTTTGCGGCCGGCCAGGTCCATGGTGAGGGCGGCGATGAGGACAGACAAGAGCCTCACGGCACCCACGATGGCGGCGTCGTCCTCAGGGGGCTGTGGGGAGGCATGAGGGCTGAAAGGCCTCCCACCCCAGCCTGCTGCTCCAGCTCTCCCTTGCCCACGCACGTTCTGTGCTAATCTTCCATCTCGGGCCACAGCTCGCAGAGCAGGGACAGGATGCTGGAGCCGCTATCTGCCTCCCGCAGAGCAGGAAGCTGGGGTGGGAGGGGAAGTGCTGTCCTCCTGGGGGGCCCTGAGGCTCCAGGCTCCCAGGGGCCATGCCTACGCACTGGCCCACTCCGCTGGACACAGCAGTCCCATGCTGAGCACCGGGTGCTCTCTGACACCCTAGCACAGCGGGGAGGGGGTGTTCCCGCAGAGGGTCCCTCACCAGCAGGACGGCTGTGCTGCTGAAGATGGACTGCAGGTAGACGAGGATGGGCGTGATGCCGGTCAACTGCTGCAGGAAGCGCATGAGCAGCGCGATCAGGATGGGGCGGCACACGCGGGGGTCCCGGACCTCAGCCCACGACACTCGGCTGCTCTACAAACACAAGGCTGCCACTGCTGCTGCCGCCACTCGGCCCCACGTCCACAACCCCGTGGCCTTCCGGGAGAGGCCCGGGGAGCCGCCCAGCGGGCCAGCCACACCTGTTTGCGCACGTTGTCTTGGATCTGCTGGAACTCGGCGCGCACGTCAGCCGCGGCCCCCCGCAGCCAGGCCAGCGCCCGCAGCGCCTCGTCATCCCGACCCCGCGACAGCAGGAAGCGTGGCGAGTTGGGCATGAAGCTGAGCAGCAGGATCATGACCAGCACTGGCCCCTCCCCGGCCACGGCCAGCCAGCGCCAGGGCAGCAGGAGGCCTGGCGGTGAGGGGCGGCAGGTGAGGGGCCAGACAGAGCCTCCCGCTGCCAGCTGCTCACGTGGAGGCCCTGGGCAACCTGGTGTACCCATCAAGGGCCACCTGCCCTGGTCTCTTCCCCAGCCCTGTGGGATCCAGGCCCCAGGTGCCCCCACCCCACCCAGTGGGAAGCACAGGGGGTACTTGCCAAGTGCATAGAGCGACAGGGATCCAAACACGGCCATGAGCTGCGGTGTGGCCCCCAGGGCCCCGCGGACGCTGGGTGGGGCGATCTCGGACACATACACCTGCAAGACACACCCACTCCAGCGCTGGGGGGGACACAGGTTCCCGGACCTGGCCAAGATGGGCGAGGCGGCCCCTGTGGGCCTCGGGCTGCGGGTCACTGCCTGACCACCCTCCGGCCTCCGCTTCTCTAACTGCCAAGCGGGCAGAAGCACTGGGTCCTGAGGTGGACACCCAGCAGGTGCACCCTGCGTCGTCCCGCCTGGGGTGTGTGGGGCACAGCGCAGCGACTTCCCTTCCTCAGCCATTGCTCAATGTGGACTTTCTCCCCTTGTGCAATGCCTCTGTGGCTGACAACAAGGTAGGAAGTAGAGGGCCTGGCCTGGGGAAGCTGGGAAACTGGGACAACTTCCCCAAAGTCAGCTGCCCAGACTGGAAGGCACGGAGGCTGGGAAGCCTTGTCACTTGGGCATGTGGTGCTCAGCCACCCTGGCGGCTGAGGGAGGGATCGTGCTGGGTCCGTGACCTTACCGGGATACAGGCCGCGGTGAGCCCGCCAGCGAAGCCGGTCAGCATCCTCCCCAGCAGCAGCATCCAGAGGCCGTGCGCGCCCGCCATGAACGCGTAGCCGGCTGCGGAGGGCACGGCCGAGAACATGATGCTCAGCTTCCGGCCCAGGAGGTCGTTGAGGGCCATGGCGCTGAGGCCCCCGGCCGCCGCTCCCAAGGTAAAGATGGACTGTGGAGGAGGGAGCAGCATGGAGGCCCTGTCGGCCTGAACAGCGCCCCCAAGTTCCCCACTGCCGTCAGAGACAATTTCCACCCCAGGGATGGGGGACTCAGGCCAAGAGTGGCAGTGAGCTGCCCACCCCCGAGCTGTGCAAGCAACATGTGGACGGCCACCTGCTAGGGACACCCATAGAGAGCCCTGTGCTGCGGCTGGGCGTGGCCACATGCCCCCAGGGATTCTGTGCAGCCATGGGTTTTTCATACTGTGGGCAGCTAAGATTTGGGGGCTCCAGGGGTCTCTGACTCTGCCCACTCGGGTCCCAGGCTCAGCCTCAGGCTGTGTGATGGGCATGGCCATGGTCCCCCGGGCCACGCCCTGCCCAGGAGATCCATGAGTTCTCAGGGGTCTTGGCTGATCCCTGACCCCCTGGGCAACTTTCTCTTCTCTGCTATGTTGTCTGTGGTGACAATGAACTTGACCATCAAGACTTAACAGTGGATGCAAGTCCGTGGGCCCAGTCGCTCCAACTGAGACCTCTCTCCCCAGGATGCCAGGTGCTCCCGCCCCCTCCACAGGGGCAGCTGGGGGCGGTACCTGGGGGGCAGACACTCAGCTCCACCCGCTCCTTCCCACACCTTCTCCACCAGCTTTCACTTCCTCTTTTCAGCGGCAACATCAGCCTCACCCCTCTTAACAACAGGGAGTGTGGGGGCAGGGCCTTGGGGGGTCCCCAGGCTGTCTTAGGAGGGCTTCTACCTGTGGACACAGTTCCACATCCCCGCCCCACCACCTCCCACTTGGGAGCGCAGTCCTCACCCCAAACCAGGATGCCTGGTTCTTGGTCAGGTGCAGCGCAGGGTCAGAGGACCGCTCCAGGGCTGGGATGACCGGGGATGTGAAGACCAGGGCATAGCCAAAGCTGAAGTTGCCCAGCACGGCTGCAAACGTGGCCAGAATCACCCTTCTGTTCTGTAGGACCCTGGGGGAGCACAAACGGATGGGGCACTGAGTCCTCCCTGGCCAGCGGCCAAGCAGGCTTGGACCAGCGAGCAGGCAGGTGCCTGCACCCGCCTGGGAATTTCCCAGGGTCAGCTCACGGCCACAGCCAAGACCCACTCGCGCTGAGGTCTTTTCCTCCAGAGAGGAGACCCACTTACGCTGAGGCCTTTTCCTCCCGAGAGGAGGTTCGGGCAGTGCCACCATCTGTGCTGCCCGCCTGGACGAGGCCCCCTGCCCCTCAGTGTCCCCTGGGGACTAGGTCCTGCAAGGTTATTAATAGGACGAGCAAGCGAGCAGGTGGGTGCGCCCGGGAAGAAAGCAGCCAGATGACCCCTACGCGGCCACCCACCCAAGGTCCCTGTCCCCCAGCCCCCACCCGTGGTGCCCACACCCCTCACCCGCCTCTCGGCGTCTCTCCCGGCGAGGCGGGCGGCTGCACGGGGAAGGTGTCATAGTCCAGGCCCTCGGCGCCCAGCAGGGGCTCCTGCATGGCCGGCCGTCAGGTCGCTCCGGCGGCAGCGTGGGCACGCGCGGGGTCGCGGCGCCTGCCAGCATCCGCCCGGCTCGCAGCTGCGGCCGGGGACCAGCGGGCGCGGCTCCGCCTCCGCGCGGCCATTGGCGGCGGGGTGGCCCTGCAGAGCCGCGCCCGCCAATGGCGACGGCGCACGGGGTCCGCGCTCGGGTGCGGGCCGGGCTTTCCCGGGCGCGGCCGCGGCGGCGGGGCTGGCCCGGGCTGGACGCGCCGGCAGGACCGGCGGGGCGAGCCCCGCGCCCCAGCCCGCGTCGCCCCCGGCGCGGACCCCGTCCGGACCACCCTGGCGGGGATGCCCACTCGCCCGCCAGCCTCGGCCATCACTGTCCCAGGCTGCCCCTTTCCCTCCTGAGTGGGGGCGCGGGGGTCCTTCCCCTCCATCTTGGGGTCCACCTAGGAGCGACACGCGTACGCGAGGCTCAAGTCAGCTAGACAGAAACTGAAAATTCCCTGGAACCAAAACCTCAACACCCAGCGGTCAGCGGCACAGGCATTGCCGGGACACATGGGGTGCTTGCCCGGACAGCGCGGTGGATATGGGACGCAGTCTGAAGCTTGGGGTGCCTGCTCAGCTGTAGGAACCGCAGCTATTGCGATGACGAAGCAGTTTCTACGTTTTTGGACTTTTTCAAAAGAGTTATTTATTTGCTACACACAGAGAAAGAGACATATCTTCCACCTGCTGGTTCACTCCGCAGATGGCCACAAGCACCAGGGCTGGCCAGATGGAAGCTAGGAGCTTTTCCAGGTCTCCCACACAGGTGCAGGAGCCCCAGGACTCAGCCATCCTATGCTGCTTTCTAAGGACATAAGCAGGGAGCTGGGTTGGGAGTAGCCGGGACTTGAACCAGAGCCCATAGGGCATACATGGTCTGTCACAGGAGGGTCTGGCTCCCGCGACAGGCACACCAGAGCCCATGTTGGAGTAATCAGCCAGCACAGGCCTCACAAACGCAATTCACACTGGAGGTGGGCAAACCTAGCATGTCCAGTCCCACAGACCAGCTTCTGTGGCAACCCCGGTGCTGGGTGCACCTGCTTGCCGGGTTAACAACACAGCCCACTGGCCCTTCACCTCCTGTGGTGCCATTCAGGTTAACTGACAGTGCAATGGCTTCAGAGGCTCCGCCCACCGGCCCTTCCTGACTGCGCTGTGTTAGAGTAATTGACTCCTCGGCAACTTGGGGCTCTGGCAGCCCCTTCCTGCCACTTGGTTAATTAAATGTGTGGGAACTTTGGGCTGTAGGATGAGAGCTTAAACCCCCGGCTTCGGCTCCCGCAGTGGCTCCCGGAGTGTAGTGGGAGCTGTCGTCACCAAACCTGGGCAATAAAAACTGCTCCTTAACATCTTATCTGAACCATACTCTGCATCATCCCCACAGTCCCTGCCCACCACAACACAGAAGATTCCAGAAGGTTCCTGCATCTGTGACTGCTGCTGCTGGCCTCTGGAAGTGGTGACAGCTGTCAGAGTCAGGGCTGGGTGGTTGGCGTTGTGCTGCTCTGTGTTGAGCAAGTGCTGCAGACTCCCATCTGCTTCACTTCCCGTCTGGCTCCCTGGAGAAGGCACTGGATAAGGGCCCAGTTCCTGCACCCTGCTGCCCACAGGGAGCCAGCATGCAGCTCCAGACTCCCGGCTTCATGCCTGGCCCAGCCCTGCTGCCTACACGGAAGCCAGCATGCAGCTCCAGACTCCCGGCTCCAGGCTCCCAGCTCCAGCCTGGCCCAGCCCCAGCATGCTGCCCACACAGGAGCCAGCATGGAGCTCCAGGATCTGGCTCCAGGCTCCGGGCTCCGGCCTGGCCCAGCCCTGCCGCCTACATGGGAGCCAGCATGGAACTCCAGGTTCTGGCTTCAGCCTGGCCCAGCCCCTGTACCCTGCTGCCCACAGGGAGCCAGCATGCAGCTCCAGACTCCCGGCTCCAGCCTGGCCCAGCCCTGCTGCCTACACGGGGGCCAGCATGCAGCTCCAGGCTCTGGCTCCGGGCTCCCGGCTCCAGCCTGGCCCAGCCCCTGCACCCTGCCGCCTACACGGGGGCCAGCATGCAGCTCCAGGCTCTGGCTCCGGGCTCCCAGCTCCAGCCTGGCCCAGCCCCAGCATGCTGCCCACACGGGAGCCAGCATGCAGCTCCAGGATCTGGCTCCGGGCTCCTGGCTCCGGCCTGGCCCAGCCCTGCCGCCTACATGGGAGCCAGCATGGAACGCCAGGTTCTGGCTCCAGGCTCTCGGCTCCAGCCTGGCCCAGCCCCTGTACCCTGCTGCCCACAGGGAGCCAGCATGGAACTCCAGGTTCTGGCTCCAGGCTCCCAGCTCCAGCCTGGCCCAGCCCCTGCACCCTGCTGCCTACACGGGGGCCAGCATGCAGCTCCAGGTTCTGGCTTCAGCCAGGCTCTCAGCTCCAGCCTGGCCCAGCCCCTGCATGCTGCCCACAGGGAGCCAGCATGCAGCTCCAGGCTCTGGCTCCAGGCTCCCGGCTCCAGCCTGGCCCAGCCCCTGCACCCTGCCGCCTACACGGGGGCCAGCATGCAGCTCCAGGCTCTGGCTCCGGGTTCCTGGCTCCGGCCTGGCCCAGCCCTGCTGCCTACACAGGAGCCAGCATGGAACTCCAGGTTCTGGCTCCGGGCTCTGGCCTGGCCCAGCCCTGCCGCCTACATGGGAGCCAGCATGCAGCTCCAGACTCCCGGCTCCGGCCTGGCCCAGCCCTGCTGCCTACACGGAAGCCAGCATGCAGCTCCAGGCTCTGGCTCCAGGCTCTCGGCTCCAACCTGGCCCAGCCCCTGCATGCTGCCCACAGGGAGCCAGCATGCAGCTCCAGGCTCTGGCTCCGGGTTCCCGGCTCCATGCTGGCCCAGCCCCAGGTGTCTCAAACATTTGTGGAGTGAACTGCCAGATGTGAGATCTGTCTCTTTTTTGCTCTGATTTTCAAACAAATCAACTTTCTTTCTTCTAGAATTGTCCTTTTGCCACCCCAGGCCTTGCGCCAGCGGAGTTTCATATAAAGACTCTGTCCTGCCTGCTCTGGGAGACTCACCAAGGCCATCTCCTTTGGGTTTGTCCCTGGTTTGCTGCTGGCTGGTGTCCCCAGCTTGCTCCCCCAGCGGGTGTGGGTGCCCAGTGTGGACCACTCATAGTGGGGGCAGGAAGGTCCATCGTGGGCACTGAGAGCAAACCTCGCAGTTCTAACATGAGCAACGCAAGGCAGGCATGGGGCCCGGGGTTGGTCGCAGTTTGGGATGCCTGCATCCCATGTGGTGGGGTGTGGGCTCGAGTCCTGGCCCACTCTGGGCCCCAGCTCCCCGTCCTGTGTGCCCCTGGATGTGGCAGCTTGCTGGGTCTGCCGACCGCAGGGGAGACATGAATGAGTTCCTGGCTCCTGAGAATTTGGGGAGTGAGCTGGTTGATGGGTTCTCCCTGCCAACCCTTCACTTCTAGTTCTCTGTGTGGCTCATCTACTTGGAAGGAAGACACCGAGAGGGCAGGGGCGGGGGGACACAGAGAAATCAACCTGGCTCACTCCCCAGACGCCTGCAGCAGCCAGAGCCGGGCAGGCCGAAGCCACAAGCCCATGCATCTGCACTTCTAGCATGGACAGCAGGGACCAAGCCCTTGGTCCATCACTGCCTCTTCCAGGTGCGTCAGCAGGGGCCAGGATGCTGACGGAGGAGCTGTGATGTGAACAGGATTCCAGAGTCCCATGACGCCTCCGTGTCTTTCCCTGCCTTACAAACAGAATCGGTAACAATTTTGAGATGACCTCACAATGAGCATCGGTGTGCTAAGAAGGGACAGATCGGTTCCGAGGGCTTCACGGCTGGTCCAGCCCCGTCTCCAGGGCCCGGTCACGCCATCCCCTCTCTTCTCCCACCTGCATCTCTACACACAGGCTTGGGGACCAGCACTGTGTACGCACAGGGGTGCCTTTTTTTTTTTTTTTAATTTCAAATAATATTTATTTGGAAGGCAGAGGAACAGAGAGGGAGAAGCCATCCGTCTGCTGGCTTGCTCTCCAAGCTACAACAATGATGTGTGCTGGGTTAGGCTAAGGCCAGGAGTTCCTTCCGGGTCTCTCACATGGGCCATTGGCAGGGAGCTGGACCGAGCAGCCAAGTCTCATATGAGAGGCAGTGGCCTGACCCACTGCAGTCCCACGCTGCCATCCCACCGAGGGTTTCCGGGAGCCCCTGCAGGGAAGCCTGTCTAGTGGCAGTAGGAACAAGGCTGCTCTGGGAGCCCCCTCTCCCTCACTCCCTTGCTCTGCTCTGTGGCCTGGGTCAGCTGCTGGCCTGTCCCCTCCCAGGACACATCCGCAGAGCTCCGGGCCAGGCTCCTCCCTGCCAATCACACAGTGCCAGCCCCTCCCCGGAGGACCTGGGGCTGCCGGTCAGGCTGCCAGACCCTCCTGGAGGACCTGGGGCTGCCGATCAGGCTGCCAGCGTCCTCCGGAGGACCTGGGGCTGCTGGTCAGGCTGCCAGCGTCCCCGGAGGACCCGGGGCTGCCGGTCAGGCTGCCAGACCCTCCTGGAGGACCTGGGGCTGCCAGCGTCCCCCGGAGGACCTGGGGCTGCCGGTCAGGCTGCCAGCGTCCCCCGGAGGACCTGGGGCTGCTGGTCAGGCTGCCAGCCCCCACAGAGGCTGCAGCTGAGAAAGAAGTAGGAGGTGAGTGCGCTGCCGGGGGGGAGCATCCGAGGGTGGTGCCAGCCTGGGCACACTTCCCGACTCTGGGCAGGTCAGGTCTCAGACCCTTCTGTGCAGAGGCAGGCCCAATGCCCGGTGCCCACCTGCCCCACTCTGGGTCTCAGACCCTAGGAGGTGGCCTTCAGGCTGGGCAGGTGGGGAGCGGCTGCTGCCCACACAGGGGTAACCGACCACCTCCCGACTTGGACAAAGGTCCCTCCTGACCAGTCCAACAGCCATCAGGAGTTGAGAAACTAAGTAAACTTCACTCCAGGACCTGGGAGTGGGGGGCTTATATAAATAATTAATTTATTGGAATAATAAGAGCTTCAGAAAGAGAGGGAGATTTAGGGATCTTCTATCCACT